ATCCTGGCTGGGATTTAATTTAGACAGGTATTTAGCAGTTTACCACAAACATCGCTCGACGACACATGTAGGTGAGTAACGTGATCCTTCATTCATTGGTCATTCAGTCCGTGAAATGCTCTCGTTCAATCAACCAATCTTTATTTCTTGTAGTGGAGGCCACAGGGCCACTCACATTCCCAATGCTCTGGTTGTATGTATATGTATAGATATCAGATATCAAACTGATTTTTCAGGAATATTTGTAGTAGCAGAATCAAAGACTTATGAAATCAAAAAGTACCATTGCTCAACATTTATGGTAAATTACAGAATGACACATTAGCAAATGTGTACGTGATGTGAGTGAGTGACTTTCGTCATTTCGTGCCGCAATGTAGCAACATTCCAACAATATCAAGGCGGGGAACACCAGAAATGGGCTTCAAACATTGTACCCATGTAGGGAATCGAACCCGGGTTTTCGGCGAATGCTTTAACCACTAGCACTGTCTATGTGAACCTTCACATTTCTGACATATATATGACTATGACAAATTATGACGTCATTATGATTTAAATTTGCTATGACGTCACTTAATGTTAGTACAAATGCAATGGCAATAGAACGTAAAGTCTAAAACATTGTTTTTTCACTGTATATGGACATTCGACGCAAATGCGACGTTTCCATAGCGCTTTTTTGTCATCGGAATTTTGTCCAAATAAAATCGTTATTGGATATCCTAATTCATTGAGACAGATCGATGTTATCTCCTCTCTTTTCTTGATTTAGACTTGCGAAACAATTTTAGACTTCCAGGATGGTTTGGATGGTTGTGCTCCGTGGTATGATTAAATCTGATTCCGTTAAATGTGCTGTTTGATAGTAACAAGCAGCTGCATGTATATCGAATTGTTTGGTCGGCAATCTGGAAGTTGGTGAGTCAATAATAACACAAAAGACTTTATGGATTACAACTTCTTGTTTATTGTATAGGGCGACTTTTCAATGGTACTTGCACCCTGTTTACGCTAAGAGTGACCACAACCAAGTGTTCAAAAGCATATACGTACTAGTATGTTGTGACAAACATAAGATTTGATTTAGATTCTTAATTAATGATGGCCATTTATAAAGCGCATGATTACCCCGGATAACCCAAGCTTCTGTGAGGCGCAATAAGGTTAATAGTCACTAAACCCACCGGGTACCCATATCCAGCTGGGTGAACAGAGGCAATTTTGAGCAAACCCACTTACCTAAGGTGAGACCACATGTATCACATGTGCTTCGTTGTGGGGCACTACAAGGTAAGAAACTCTGCCAAACATGGTCACCCATCCAACCACTCTCGGCACTCAACGATGTTTAACTTCAACTGAATTGTGACTGAGATTCCTGAATTGAAGTATTTTGTTTCTCATCTATGTATGCTCTACAGGTACAAAAAGCAATGTGGCTTCTCTATGTGTTTGTGCTGTTCATGCTGTTCTCAGTAGTTGGTGAGATATGATAATTGTTGTTTTTTTTCATTTTGAACATGAATTTCATGCGACTGTATTATAATGCAAATATGGCAACGTGTCATGCATACTGAGACACTTTGAAAACGCATAACGGAGTTTGATATGATAACAAAATAAAACAACACATAAGATGAAAACAGTTGTTATTATTTATGAAAAGCACATGGAATAAGCATTCAGCCTGTTGAAGAAGAAATGGAATGTTGTCGGCAGGAGACGCACACGTCTTCCAAGCTGAGGCACCCCCGTTATCACAGTCAGTATCTCGTGTGGCCTCCATCAGCTCTGGCACAGGCATGGATACGTTGGGCCATGGAGTCAAAGAGACGAGTGATAAAGGCCATAGGAATGTTCCTCCATTCTTGTTGCAGAGCCAAGGTCGATTCTGCAACGTTGGCTGGCGGTGGCTGACGTCTGTAAACTCGCCTCCCACGTTCGTCCCACAAGTGTTCAATAGGGTTTAAGTCTATCACAATGATTCCAGTTTACTAAAGAAAGGTTTGGTCCACTCTTGCTGCATGGGGGCGGGCGTTATCATGCTGGACGTATGTGACGGCTCAGCAATGGAATTCAGGCGTGAGAATTTCATCCACATCGCGCTGTGCTGTGCGATTGTCCTGATTAGCGTGAAGATCGCTCCTAAAAACGTGCGCTCTTTGCTACCAAAACCATCACACATGCAGCCACCACCGAATCGATCTCGCTGTCTGACACATACATTGGCGTAACGTTCACCATGTCGCCGATTAACTCGTTCTCTTCCATCAACAAAGGAAACTTAGTACCTCGACTCGTCCGAAAACATAATTCTACGGAAGAAAAGCCGTGGTCGACGTCCATACTGCTGCGCAAATCGGCGCCGACCCTGACGGTAGGGGCGTCGGGATCGTAATCCCGGGTGTCAAAGGCGCTGTCTGACTGCAACGGGGTGGATTGGTCTCCCATGTCTGCCAATTGTGTTCGCTGCTGTTGCCGTCCTGAAGCGATCTCGGAGGTGCGCCAGTCGAATTTGTCGGTCTTGTCTAGCTGTTGTAACCGGAAATTGACCTGGTCGAAGACAGTTCTGCAACGCTTCCTGTTTGTTGATGTCTACTGAGAAGACGGTTTATGGTTGATTGGTTGACATTAAAACGCCTGGCAACGGCTGTCTGTGAAGTCCCTGCACCGAACAGTCCAAAAGCACGTTCCCGTTCCTGTAAATTCAGTCGTGGCATTGTTTCAAATCGCTTCTGTCCCATTGATGCAATTGCCTTAAATGCATGAGACCTCAGGCAATGCACGTGCATTTCTATTTTCAAGATCACATAGCGTTGTCAATGTAACGTGGGGAAGGTATGTTTTAGCGATTCTGTCAGCGTAAAAAATACAGGCAATGGATTTATACTCGGACAATAGGTCTAAAACACGCCTTGAATAAACATTCTAAACATTAGAGTGAGTGAGTTTAGTTTTACGCCGCTTTAGCAATATTCCAGCAATATCACGGCGGGAGACACCAGAAGTGGGTGTACCCATGTGTGGGAATCGAATCCGGGTCCCAAATGTTAGATACTTCATTCACGTTTGTTGAGCGTTTTTGTTTTATGTAAATATACCAAAAAAATCTCTTTGCGTTTTCAAGGTGCTTCAGTATATGTGGCAACTCTTTCAAGAGCTTTCTCTTAACTTATGTCTTAGTTAAATGTATAAAATACACATGTCATAGTGATGTTAATAAAGTATAATGCTTTGCACATAAAACATTACTGCCCCGGTGCCGCCACGATAAAACCATTCACTTCTATGTCTGACCTTTGAATGTGCCGTGATATGACACCGTTTCAACACTTTTAACATGATGCTGACTATAGTCTGTTTGCAGTGAAAACGTACCGATGAATTTCACTTTAAACAAAAAAGTAAATCAAGTTAAGTGAAATTAAGATTGCGAATCCTCATAATTTTACCTTGCCAAATGAAAATTTTTCTCAACTTAGGATAAAAGGTGTTTAACAAACGATCATAGATTCAAATAGCTGTTATTGGTTTGTATTACAAGGGGGTGAGCGCAGTAGATGGAACAGTGAAACAAATGCACGTGCGGTACGTGATGAGCGTTAACTTACACCAACCCTACTTGTTCTTGATGTTTCATTTAAAGTGCATACCCCTTGTAATACAAACCAATAATAGCGATTTGAAACTATGATCGTTTGTTAAACAACTTTTATCCTAAGTTGAATAAAATTCTGAGATTTGAATGTTCAATTGGCAAGGTAAAATTATGAGGATTCGCAATCTTAATTTCACTTTATTCGATTTACCTTTTTGTTTAGAGTGAAATTCATCGGTACGTTTTCACTGTAAACAGACTATAGTACCATAGATTCTACATTTTAAAGGAAGGGGAAGTAACTCATTTTGTATCTTGAGTTTGAAGTGAAACATTTATGTTATTGCAGTTGGAGAATGCCATTGCTACAATGCAAGTACCTGCAGAAGCAATTGTGGCCGAAACGGCGGTTGCATCAAGGGATGGTTCGGTCCGACCTGCCAGAAACGTGAGCAGTGATGTTGACATCATCAATAAACACATTTTGTCTTCTTAAAACACATGCATTCTCTCTTTCCAAATCCAATTTCTCATATTTTCGAATTTCGATTTTGAAGCGTTTGCTATGATGATAGTAGCTTACAGTTTAAACATATCCAGCTCAAATCAGTTGTTAACAACATGATCTACATCAGATACACATTATCGTACAGTTTTTTCAATGCGATGTATTACACGGAATAGCATAGGTAAGAGGACCCTGGGAAATGTGCATGCACTAAGAATTAGTGTCTTATGCAGTCTGTTCTACTGATGTCCTGTACATTTTCTGTTGTCTGTTTATCAAACACGTTCTCCTACCATTCGAACGTGACCATTTTCACAGGGTTATTCTTAAGTTGCTTGAACGTTTAATACCACTATTTCATGTTAATACATGAGAAATGCATCTGTTAATGTATATTGTCTCTAGATTGATAATGGTCATTTAAATTATTCAAATATATCTGGTTTAAATGAATTCTTTCCTCAGAAAACGTTGCACTGCTAAGACCTGTGACTCAGACCTCCGTCTACTATGAACGTGTTGAAACGTCCCAGCCACTGAACCTCACAGCGGACTACGCGGTGGATGGAATAGTTTCAACTCGCTTCAATGACAGTCCGTGTGCACACACTGACGGTGGAGACATGACTCCATCATGGACTGTATTTCTCAATACGAGCAGCCATGATAAAATACACCACATGAAACTCTATCTTCGCAAATCACGTGAGTACTGTGGGGTCTATATTAACATTGTAAGAATTAAGATAAATGCAGAACCTGAAATGGATGCTTTTTGAGATCGTCCAATATCTCAAGTCCAATTGCCAATAAAGTATAAACGTTGTGACGTTAGCAAACTGAAACATCTAAATAACTCATCACAAACTTTTATCATATTAACTCTACGAAATGTGTGTGTTTACAGAGCCAAATCGAAATGATGGCATGGTGATTCTGGTGGACGACCAGGTCTGCTACGGTTGGTCATCAACTGAACGACCTGATTATGTCACAGACGTCGCCTGCCGACAGCCACTATCAGGAACCTCAGTTACCATACGGACACCACAAGAGTTTCTGACTCTCTGTGAGGTGCAGATATTTGGTATGTACCCAATTAAAGCCAAATATCAGCAAAAGCATCCATAACTACACAAATCAGTTAATAACAATGTACATCTGATTTCTCTTCTTAAGGTGTTACCAACTACTTTCACAAGTTCATATTTCATAAATAACTTATATTGTAAACCAGGCCTCAAATAACATAACCATTTTATGTAAACGTCATTGCATACATTGTTTGAATTTGGTACAAGTGACATAACAAATGCCTCATGTAAAGCCAATATGTTAACTGAGGATTAATCTTCCAAAACCATTCATCAGTGCTAGTACCTTTTGGCTTGATTCTAAATGGTGAAGACATGTCCATTCCTCGTTTGGACTGGATTATTAGGGTCCACGCAGGTAGCAAATGTACTGTAAGTCCTCATGGTCCCTAGTATGGTGATCTACCTTCAGTTGTTGGCAATATATACGGCCTGTCCTTATATTGTATTTTCTACAATTAGCATGCTTCAGATTTAAAACTACTTTTAGATTCATATATGTGATATTCTAGTGGTTTTTACTGTCCTTTGTTGACAGACTGTTCATAACTTACGTATATTTATGGTGAATTTAAAAGTCCTTTTAGTCACGATATGGCTGTGATATTGCTGATGTGACTGTTAATCTTAACTCACTCACTCACTCACTCAAATGTACTGGATTACCAAGCAACACAAACATTCGTACCAAAAGATATAATTTTGGTCCTGCAAATGTACTAAAATGCCAGTCTCAAAGATTAACCATGATCCTCAATACTATCAAGGCAGAAATTGTCCTATATCCCCAGAAAGTATTTGAGAAAGCGGAATTAATACCATGTGGATTTGAAGTTCAATTGTTCGTGGATGTTTCGCTGGGCCAACGATGTTTTGCACACTCTAGCCCAACATTGGAATGCAATTTTGTAATTTTAAGCCTCAATCAACAATATTCCGCTCATCGCAGTGGCCTGTTGATGAATAAGTCTTATAAATCAAGTCAAAGAACAAACGATATACAACCAGCTTACTAACAGATAGGGACCTCCTCCTATTCGCGACAGAGGGCGAGTGGATCTTCAACACTATTTTTCAGTGTTTAGTTCAGTGTATTGAGGCGACCAATACCATCTTTCTTATATAGTTTGCAGTGACGGCTGGTTTGGCGACAACTGTGACAAACGATGTCACTGTCTGGATAACAAGGAAGTATGTGACAAGATCACTGGACACTGCTCTAGCGGATGCAGTCATGGATTCCTCGGCGCAAATTGTCAGACACGTACGTACAGAATATCCAATAAACAAGGATACAGTGTATTTTCAACGACAAGTGAGGAAAATCGTAAAAAGGGATGAGTATTTCTTTAATTTTACCACCTGACAATCCCACCGTAAAAACCAAGCTTACAGGTATCAGATCATATAACTTTCCGAACATAGCATTCATTGTTGACAATACAACAACGCAGATGGTTTTTATTATTCTTTGTTAAGCAAAAGCACGCATTAGGCCAACAAAAAATTAAATTTGTTCTTGTACAAAAACTTTTTTCTGAATATCTGGAGATGAAAACGTATTATTAATGAAGCAATGTCCCTATATCAACTAAATGTTTTATCTAGATTTCATAAATATTACATTAAACCATTTTATATTTAACCATCTGAGTAAAGTGCACATTCAAGCATAGATTCCACTAAAACTGCTCAGTATTGTTATGGCGATTGTTACAGTGTGCAAATTTGAGGGATTGTCCTCAATATTTTATATAATATATGTTATATTTGGGATTACACTATGTTACATTTCACCACTTTCCAAATGGCATTGTGTATTTCAATATTTTACGTTTCCTAATTCCAATAGATTTGAACTTGGCGATTGACCAAGGGTGAGAATTCGTAATTTGCCCAGCCACTACATTTTGTTGTGTCTTTGGAAATAGGTTGCATGTAACGTCCTTACATGTTTGCAAATCAGTTAATTGTCAACATTGCATTTTCAGCCCGCGCCATAAATACTGACCAAGGACCTTCTAGTCCCATAACTTTAGCAGTTGCAATTTCATGTGGAGTTGTCATATTGATCATTGTGCTGGTGGCTTCTCTGTGGATCAGAAGGTGAGTAACATCTTAGATTTGTCACTTATGACTACCGAGCGTATATTGAATGGGAGAGATAAAATGTTCTGTTTCTTTCAAGATCTATAATACGGGACAAAAAAGACATGTGTACAGTCTATCTAATGTCCAGAAATGTACAGGAAATTCCTCTATCTCTGAACTATCTCAAAATGTATGATACTATCTATTGTCTTTTCATTGTTTGTCGACAAGCCGTATTCAAACATGTTGCCGGTGCATGTCGCTGACAGAAATGACATTTGAACAGGGGCGGTGGGGTAGCCTAGTGGTTAAAGCGTTCGTTAATAACGCCAAAAGCCCGGATTCGATTCTCCACATAGGTACAAGGTGTAAAGTCCATTTCTAGTGTCCCCCGCCATGATATTACTGGAATATTGCTAAAAGCGGCGTACAGCCATACTCACTCACTCACATTTGAACAGCAATGTCCACAGGGCCTGTAAGTCTCGCGCGGCGCTACTTCCGATACTAAGCCGGTTCCCGGCACCAACTTGCGATGTGAGAGACGGAATCCAGCTTACTTCCGGTACGAGATTTCCTGTGACAAGCGTATATTCAAGAACAGGTTCTGGTCTCAAATTGCACGACCGCCTAATATGACTTTACTAGAGCGGACCAAATGTGCGGGAATACTAAGGTCTCGCGAAGTGCCCTATTCAGCTTTACCCCTTGGAATTAAGTTCAGTACAGTTCCATTCCTAATTTTCGATTTTTGTATGAATATATATTATTCCCTGTATATCTAATGTATGTCCACTTAACGCCGATTATTTATCAGCCAGACATGTAGTATGACATGTATAGAATAAAGAAATGTGTTGTGATTGTGGAAAGATTGACAGAACTATAATTGTTGATTATTAGAGTATGTGAAGAGTGTGAAGACTGAAGAGTATTAGAAAAATGTTGTGAACAGCTGTCCATAGAACCACCGAGTGGTGACATCGTAATCGGAGAGAGAACATAAGGCAACTAACACCCAATATCCACTTCAGTCGTTCCTAACTGAAATATGTTCTTTCAGCGATCCTATTCTGTCCTCGAATGTATGTGTTCTTTAGTTATGACATCAGACTGCACACAAATAATCTGAAACAGTTATCATCCTAATTGACATGAATCCAAAACCTCATTCTCGACGACATCGCTGGTGGTGACTTCATGTTTTGCATCACCTGCAACCCTTGCTGGTTGCAAATGCAAACAGACGATCTAGTTTAACGAAAGAGTTCTCTTTTGCTCATCATGTTACCATTTCATGACGCATGGAAATGTTGAATTAATATTTAACTTTGCACCTTTCAGGCTGCAGATGAAAATCAAAGCGTTAGAAACGACACGTGATGAACCGTACGCCTCTCTGGATCAGACCACAGTGGAACAAATATCAGAAACTTGTTATACAGAGATGGCTGAGGACAGATATGATGCTAGATATATCAATTCATCAGTGCGATAAATACTCTGAAACAACTTCAATGAATGTTGAATGGATCCACAATAATCGCTTATTCTTAACCAAAGCATGCAGTCTTTACTCTACCCTTGTTCTCTGTCTGTGTTGCTTCCACTTTATAGCGTAATAGCAACTTGTTACAAATCTCTGCCAACAGCAGGATCGACTGTACGATTCCGATATACCACGGGCTGGCATGTATATAAAAATGAAACACTATCAAATGGTAATAATGCTTAAAGCATGTACAGCAAGTTCAACTGTTCACCCGAAAAAGGATACATACAAAACGACGTATGTCAGGCTTAGGTTGTTTATGCATAAAACAAAACAAAACAAAAAAACAACAGCATCAAAACACAACAATAGACAAAAGTATTTTCTTCCTCAATTGGCTGATATGAATCATGTTGAACTATTTTTATTATTTGCGGAATGATAGCACTCGAAATAAATCCATTTGTGCACAAATGACATCTGATGATATTCGCCTTGACCTTTGCCAAACTGCCCTGAACCTCTGTAGCCAAAGACGTAAGTGTATCCATAATCATTGTTGTAACCGATGCGTCAGCTTTTGAAATGTTCTCCACATATCTACCATAAAATGTTAACTGAAGCCTTAACGTTTGGAAGCTTGCTTGAACAACTATTGAGCGTGATAGTTTTGCGCACTTTGAAATCTCGATTGAATTTTAAAAGTTGTGAAATATAGGCCTGGGCTGCAGGATATTGCTGGTCATACTTGACCACTGGAAAGTTAAAATCATCCCTCTCGTATCACAGTCTTGATGAGATTTCTTTGTCGCTCTGACTCTTTATGCATATATCTCATTATTAAACACACGAGAAGGTCTCACTAGTGTGCCTTATGTGAAGTTATTCAAACGATAACAGACAATCAATATGCATTGAGGCTTTTGTTAAACTTTGCAAATTACCTTCTTTTGATTTTTGCAGCAGTTGGGATGCATACTTCTTGTCCACATGTTACTTCTCATTTTTCAGAGATGTTATTAATGTTATTAAACTATATCACTTCACATATTATTTCTCAATAAACTTCATATGACATTTGCTTTCATTTCTTCCATTGTCTGAAACTCCTAAATTAGATATGTAAGTGTACCTATGCTCACCACCTTTATTAACTAAAGGATCAAGCAATGCCACTGTACATATCTAGAGGTGTAATGACGTTGTGTGAGTGAGTATGTGTTGTGTGGTGTGGTGTGGTGTTGTGTGTTGTGGTGTGGTGTGGTGTGGTGTGGTGTGGTGTGGTGTGTGTGTGTGTGTGTGTGTTATTCACAAGTATGTTAGACCAAACCACTCTTAAAAATGTAGGAAAAATACTTATTTGAAAATATACCCATCTAACATGGTTACACAAATACATTAAGATACACAATTACTCTTATCTGGATATGTATTTTTAGCATAGTGAGTGATTTTAGTTTTACGTCGCACTTAGCAATATTCCCGCTACATGGCGGCAGCTTTAGCATAGTAAAACAACACTTTCAGTATAAGGGTTTACAGTCAGACAAATTATGGTAAGTGAGATAGTCATTCATATTTGAATGCAGATGTGTTAATACTAAAAGGGGTATGTTAAAACTACATCTATATCATAAGCATGACTTGTTGGCACGTACGTAACGCACTGCAGTTGGTTGCAATATATTGTTAGTTATATTTTTTGTTAATGAGTTGTAAAATTGTAAAATGAGTGTTTATGACTAATGGAATATCGGAATATTTAACCACTCTTTTCACTTATGTTACAATTGTTTAATACAATTTTTATTTTATTTTGATAGCGTTAAGAAATAGTGTTAAAACTAGTCAGCTATGGGGAATAATATCAAACAGATACTGGGACAATATTTAAGAAACCACTGATAGGAAGCATCGAAATTATTGTTACCTAGGAAACAGCATATTGTAAATCCTAACGACTGAAGATCATGATTTCATGAATACGTGTTTATATGACAAAATGACTGTACGCATGACTGCCATTTTCATCATTACAGAAAAGAAATGATTATTTATAGATAAGACACACCATATGTTCTCTGACATCTGATATACACACATATAACATATATAAAACAATGAGTGTAGGATTATGCAGTGTACCGCACTGTTTTGCAATTATTTATGTGATAACGTTTGCTAAAGGAAATCAAAAGCCATAATATGAATTGTCAGTCCCGTTGATCTCTTAAGCGTTAAAAATTATTTATGGTCGGGCTGGTTACGTCCCTTGGCCTTAGGACTAGTAAACGTTAATGGTCGACTGGGTTTTGCTGTTTTGTCATCATTGATTATAGCCTGTTGTATTATTTTGTAGATTAGCTTATAGTTATGCCTTTAACCACTCATATGACAACAAAACGACAGCAGTGAACTCTCAGGGTTCAAATTACCAAATATAATAGCGAAGCGTACTTAAAATGAGAAATCTGTCCGATATCTTTGACAGTTCATTCACGCACTGAAGTGCTGATAAAATCTCAGTAGCCACGTCTTATGGCTGCATAAAGTTCAAAGTAAAACATACGTTATGACATCGTATATTATGTTCACTGGGGATTCATTTGCGTATGGTCGATAACACACACATGGGCACAGAAAAGGTGCCTATGATTCTCTTAATGGGCCCACAAAACAGCACAACCCTGCAGCGGTACGTAAGTTCTGCATGGGAAGTGTGTCCGAGTACAGTAAATGTCGTCTCATGAATACATCCATCATTTATTTGTTTGCTTTTTTTTCAAATATTTTTTTTATGTTATGACAAATTCATGAATTTAGACTATGTCCTGTTGTCAAGGACGTGCACTGCACATTGTAGCTCTTACTTTGACTTTGGTGCTTTGCTACGAGGTAAAACATATGCCTAATGGACACCTTTAAACAAAATAATCTGAATGCAAATTTAATAAGCAAAGAACCTTTTATTATAGATGCACGCAACAAAAATTCGGAAAACATATCCGTGAAATCAACCACAGTCCATCGATATCGATTGTTAACCGAGACAGTGAGTTTGTTATATCAAGCACATGAGTTATACTTCATAATCATGTATTTAGTTGACCCCGATTTTACACTGATGTCTTTGTTACTGATGACAGGATGAAGTTGTGAAGCTGAATGTCATCTTCTTCTGTGATAGTGCAAGCTCTTTGTCACTGATGCACACGTTGAAGCTATACGTCGGTAATAAGCTGAATATCATGGTGTTTTCCGTGATAGTGCAAGCTCTTTGTCACTGATGCACACGTTGAAGCTATACGTCGTTCATATGCTGAATATCATGTTTTTTTCCGTGACAGTGCAAGCTCTTTGTCACTGATGCACACGTTGAAGCTATACGTCGTTCATATGCTGAATATCATGTTTTTTTCCGTGACAGTGCAAGCTCTTTGTCACTGATGCACACGTTGAAGCTATACGTCGTTCATATGATGAATGTCATGTTTTTTTCCGCGACAGTGCAAGCTATTTGTCACTGATGCAAACGATGACGTAATACGTCAGTGAGACGCTGAATATCATGTTCGCTTTTCCACGAGTTTAATGTCACTGATGTTCACGATAAAGTTATAGGTCGGTTTGACGCTGAATATCATATAGTGCGAGGACTTTGTCACTGATGCACACGATGAAGCTATATCTAAGTCAGATGCTGAATATCACGTTTTTCCGTGTTAGTGCAAGCTCTTGGTCACTGGTGTGCACGATGACATTACACGTCAATCAGGCGCTGAATGTCATGTTTGGTTTACTCACCTGATAAGTCTTGGTCACGAGTCGATCCAAAAAGAGCCCATGTAAACTGTTCAGATGAATATTGAGATAATGCTTTGACATTGTTTATTGGAGATGCTTTCATCCTATCTACGGACTTGACCAATTCAAGTAAAATATGTTCAGATACATGCAAATGTTTCCAACTGCTTTTTGTGTTTCTTGAATATTAGACGGGTCTTTAAGGAGCAAAAATCCATTTTCCCGCCGCACTCAGCAATATTCAGATATCAGGGCGGCTTGTACATAATCGTTTCTGCACAAGACAATCCAGTATTTAAAACCATGAGCAGCGATGAACGCAACTGGTATTCAATTATATCCTGTCAAACAGACCTCGATCCTGACGACCTGATCCATGCAGTCGCCTCTAACAACAAACATAGGCTGCCCCGCAGGTTCAGATACTCCGTTAAAAGCGGAAACGACTATTCAGTGTAGAGTTAAGTCAGATTATTTTTTCTGTGATGTAGACTGTCAAATTGATAAACAAATGTGCGTAACTTACACCATGGGTGATGGTGTCTATATGAAGAGTGATGTCGTTTTAACGTATATAACTATGTGTTAAGCAAGACACATGATCGACCAGCGATATCTGTAATTGTACAGCAGGCACTCTGCATGTAATATAGCAGGCACACTTATCATAGAAATAGGATATTTGCGGCACATAGGGAAGTATGACAACAGTTTGTTGACAGTCGTCTAGCTGGTTTGTCGCCAATATACATTCCTTAACAATGCTTCATAAGCCATCATTTTGTTTTTGAAGCCGTCGGGCAACAGTTCCGAAATACCGGCGAGTTATTCTTGTGAAACATTCTCCGACCTGATACAATAAAACACATTAACAATAACATAGTGAGTGAGTGAGTTAAAATTTAAACTTACTTTGGCAATATTTCAGCTATATCGTGACTAGAACAGTTAATACTTTAGCATTTTATTTTATAAAAAAAAGAAAAACAAAGTAATACGCTGCTACCATTAACGCACATCGCGACTGAATTGCTTAAATGGTTATCAATTTAATCTAGTAAGGGGGTTGGATACCTAAATCAAAATGTCAAGAAATTGCTAAATTTGGTATCATTTTGTTGGAAAATGTGCCCCGAATCTAATTATTTAATAAAAATACTGCATTTGTTTGACAAGTGGCGCCCCCTTGTGGCACCATCTGTAAAAAGTAATGTCAATAAAAGTTTTCTCAAAAGTAAATTGTTTACTTTTATTATTCAATATGTGTTTTTGATAAAGACATTTCAGTATTGATATGAAATAAAGCAGGAAAATCAATTTTCAAGGCAGCATGTAGGATTTGACACATTAATTAACTTCTGAAAATAGAGGGATAAAAAAAAATTGATTCATCAATGAAAAAGAAGATAAATTGTTAAAGGGAGATAACTCTTGCCCAGGTTTACCGCAGTATACATGTTTGTGTGGCCAAAATATCATGAAGTATGATTATAAGCAAGATAAAGCGTAACATAAATACGCACTCCTACTGTCACATCCCGTCGCATACGCATTCGTCACCACTCGCTACTTTCCGTAACCTCCAAGAACGCCTTTCGGCTTGTCCCGGAATAACACGAGTTGGTCACGAATGGTCGCATACGGTATGCCCACAAGCCACGGTATCCAACCTCTTGAATTAAACAAGTAAACCACTTGTCATATAACGTGTACCAAACTGCTACTCATCTTCTGTGGAAGCTTGTCTAATAGACTAAGGCTTAGTCTCTGAATATATATAATTTTGATAGTAACAAACAAGCCCATTTATATTGAAAAGGAGCCCAGAGATATAGAACCTGAACCTGAGGAAATCTAGACTTGCTGATTTAGGGCTTTAGCACTGCCGAGAGGGCTTGGCAGTAGGGAAATTAATGTGGTTCAGGGACTGTGAGACAGACTACTTGTCTAATGAAGCAGCTTTGTTCGGATATGGATGTTGGGATGAACAGGGTTACGATACATAACTGATCGATCTTTAGTTTCCATATTTCACATAGTTGACAGTACGTGGAAAGGTCATTAGAGAGACTATAGTACGTACCCTTTCCCTCCAATGTTGATGATCTGACGGACGAGCTGGGAGAACTCATGGCGGGCATTACGTTGGTTTTTCAACACACGACCATCATCTACTTACCGAAATGAGAGGCGCTGGGGTAGCTTAGTGATTAGAGCGCTCACTCGTCACGCCGAACATCCGGATTCGATTCCCCACTTGGCTATATTGCGTGAAGCCCATTTCTGATGATACTACTGGAATGTTGCTAAAAGTGGTGTCACTCAGATTTTTAAGGTTAAAACGTGTATGTAATCAAGTTCCATACATCAGGTGGAATGAGCCTAGCCTCTGTGTGTAACTTCGATATTTTAGTCCTATTAATATTATGCGAGACACAACTAATCATCTCTCTGTATTTATATGTATAGGTTAATCACCCTTACAAGGAAATTTATTTAAATAAACTCTGCGAGGGCTTTGCCCATATATCACCCCACGCTCCTTTCCATTTTGGCAGAGTTGGCTTTACAGATTTACTTCCCTTAGTAAATAAGCCATCCTCCAGCGGTCTTGAGTGAGTGAATAAGTTTATTTTTTCGCCACACTCAGCAATATTCCGGCTATATGGCAGCGGTTTGTAAATAATCGAGTCTGGACCAGACAATCCAGTGATGAACAACATAAGCATCGATCTGCGCAATTGGGAACCGATGACACGTGTCAACCAAGTCAGAGAGCCTGACCACCCATCCCGTTAGTCGCCTCTTACAACAAGCATAGTCGCCTTTCGTGGCAAGCATGAGTTGCTGAAGACCTATTCTATCCCGGATCTTCACGGGTCTCGTGAGTCTGAAGTTCAAAAATATATATCAAAATCCAAAATGTTCAGTGATTGGATATTATGTGTATGATCTAAATAATTCATGTATTCATTGTATTGTATATATCATTTTGTATATATCTTTCTATCCCTGTACATATAGTTTGTTTCATTTTTGCATGTAAGCACTGTAAATAGGAGAGGGTTTCACTAAGTTGGCATAACTTGTACCCAATCCATTCTCTTGAATAAATATGTTTAAATCAAAACCACCCATCCCGTTAGTCGCCTCTTAAGACAAGTATAGTCGCCTTTCGTGGCAAGCATGAGTTGCTGAAGACCTATTCTATCCCGGATCTTCACGGGTCTCGTGAGTCTGAACCAAAATTCACAATGATTGTGGTTCAAGGTTTGTTTACGCCATTCTCGTCCTCTCATGTTTCACCATACTGGAACAAGGGTAAGGTTTGGTATCCGGCTTTTCACCCACATCAAACTGACACACCATCAAAAAATTAAAATATTATTCAACAGCTTCAAACTAAACTCACTAATATCTCCACACGTGATTGTAAATTGTTGAAGAGGACTTTGTGCAAATGAATGGTCACATGCTAAACGGAGTGAACCCGGATTCTTCGCTCACTCTCCTATAGGACATATATATGTAGATCCTGCTGAGCAAGCTTCACCAGTTGAGGGAAGGGGCTTGCAGTAGTTCAACCTGAGTCTTGTCGTCACTATGACAACACATACATTAGACGAGGTGTATGTCAGGTAACTCCATCTCGACGTATCACGTCCACCAATACACGGCACATGTGGGTAAGTAACATACATTTTCATTCGTGGTTTCTTCATCTGAATGCTAAGCGAGCCCTTAAAAACCGTTGTTGTATAGCATGCATAGCATGTTTAATGTTCATCTACAGTTCTGTAAATGTTGCATAAACCATGAATAGTCAGTCGATTACATACTCGTGAATATCCGGATTAGAATTGGTGCGATACAAATTCACAGAATTATGAAAACAAAGTACCATTGCTCACCATGTTAGTTGCATCACTGACTGAAAATTATCTGTCCACGTGGTGGGACAACACTGCATTGTCAACATTGCGGTCAGCTTGGTCAGTAGTACGGTAGTGAGTAAGTATGGTTTTAACCGCTTGCGCAATATTCCAGCAATATCACAGCGGGGGACACCAGAAATGGGCTTCACTCATTGCACCATGTGTGGAATCGAACCCGGGCTTTCTGTGTGATGAACGTCGCTTTAATCATTAGGTTACCCAACCGCCCCCTAAAGTGCTGTAAAACTGGATTTAAGGCACGTGACTTATTGCGAATTATATGGGTACGTTTTTCATGTGGCAAAGCCTTTCGATATCATCCGCATAATGCTCCCTCTACGTGAACGCTCACAGTTAGAGTATACATGACGCCTGTATTGGGAGTATTGCGTTCGCGTGGCACTGGCCCAACTTTTTATAATATTGATTTGGGGACTAAATGTCCATTCAAATGAGTGAGTGTGTGAGGTACGTTTTAGGCCGCACTCAGCAATATTCCAGCTATATGGCGGCGGTCTGTAAATAATCGAGTCTGGACCAGACAATCCAGTGACCAAAAGCATGATCATCGATCTGCGCAATTTGGAACCGATGACATGTGTCAACCAAGTCAACGAGCCTGACCACCCGATCCCGTTAGTCGCCTCTTACGACATGCATGGGTTACTGAAGATCAATATTCTAACCCGGACCTTCACAGGTAAAAGTCCATTCAATGGTTCAAATAAAATGTAAATATATGACAAAGGACGTCTTGTTTGCATTCAATAACCAACCAAAGTTTGCACCGATCAGCGCAACCACACTTAGCGGGGAATAACTCTACCTGACTGTGTTGTGTCGCGTCAACGCCTCGCTGCGTACGAGTTTTCTTTAAAACTATCATTTTATGTACAGAACCGACCTTTATTGCTTACAGCATATGAAGATCACAATGATCATATACAGTTTGGTGACATTTTGGTGATAGGGCTGGTAGTAATATAAGCCATATAACATACACATAATAAATAGTAGTACATAGTACTTTTGTTTACACGGAGGACTTCCATCTAAATTTTCAGATACATTTTACAGAAAAAATAAATAAAATTTACTTTATAATTCACTTTCACAGTGACTTGTACCTGAACATGACAGTGTTACAACAAGTACAAAGTCTTCGTCGTTGACCATCTTTTTCATTTTGAATCGATTGACAAAATGTTACAGAGTTTGGTCTTTCGTAAAGTAAGGATTAATAAATTGGTTTCAAGAATCAACAAAATAGGGGCATTGTAAAATTGCATGATATTCATCACCGATAGAGGTATTACAGAGAGGACATCTACGCTCCTATAAAGGTACACCATTCCAACGGCCGACCTCAACTGATAGACGGTGGTTAGACGTACGCAATGTAATCCAGCTTTTTAGTGGTAAAAAGCTTAAATAATTTTTAAAGATGACTTTGACTTTATTTTACTAGATCGACAGTGTAAATAGTTGATATTTTATTCTCAGTCGCGTTTTTTTTTCTCTGCGCGCCATGTTTGTGTGTGGTTCTAATGTTTTATCAATGCTATGACTATGCTTAAAAAAAGCTAAAAGGATTTTTAATGAATATTATTATAAGTGCTGATTTTGTTTTAAACAATGACAATAAAAAAATACAGAGCAACTAATACACATATGTGTTGTCTCGATGGTTTTTTTGGTTTTTAACACCAAACTATATGTGTGTCTCAACAAGGAATTGAACAATATTTACTTTACAGGTGGGAAAATTTAGATTTCGTTAATCGATTTTTCTCAAATGAATAAAGTTTATTTTTAGTTAAAACAAAATTGGAGCATATGATAAATACAACACTTCATGTGTCACTGGTCAAGTCAACACAATTACAACGATTACAATGGCAGTACAAATACAATGGCAATAGACAATAAAAGAAGTGGTTATAGGAATAAGGCAGTGATAATAACCTTCACTTTGCTGATACAGTGGTCAAGTCTCAATAGGCCTAGGCTGGTAATCATGGGTAATCACTGCTAGCATGAAAACATTGTTTCTTCTGTATATGGACAGTGCAGGAAAAACGCATTCTTGGCATCCTTTTTTCGTCCAAATAACGTCGTTTTATGACTTCGGATACATTACGAGCGAACGATGTAATTGCACTTCTTCCGTTTCTTGACTGGCGTTGACAATCAAGCAACAACACCTACCTGTTTTCCTACTTCTCAGTTTTCATTGGTCACCTACTCGTGTCAGACTACAGTCCGGAGCTCGACGCGGAAATGTTGAGCGGAAGTGTTGAATGTGTTGAATTCTGCCGTTCTGCGCATGCGGTTTGTTTAATACCTTGCTCTCCGCACGATCGATTCCGCAGATTGTTTGCAGCATGTAGGGATCCAATCCGTCGCATCTGTTGGTAGTTGTGACGCAAACTTCCCATTAATAACGTAATGATAAGGGTGAGAATATTGTTCAGAATATTCAGAAATGGACAAAGCTCAGTAACGGTTAAACAACAGAAAACGGATAGTACTTGTGCTGTTAAGGAGAGAAACAACAACAACAACACTTAAATCCAGTATGGCATTGTGTGATTGTTTAAAAACGCATGGAAACACAAGACAAAAGAACACCAACCCTTAAAAAACCTGTAGAAACCACAGGAAGATTTCTATTTAATGATAAAAGATTCGTTAAAGGCACAATGTCACACATTTTCGACAATATTTTGGCCTATATTATATATTGGGGCATATGCACTCCCTTTAGCTTCCATCGCCTCTGTGTTGGAGTGGTTAGGGCGTCCGCCCGGTTCGATCCCCGACCGCGTCATACCAAACGACGTTAAAATATGGTACTTGTTGGTCCCTGTCTGGCATACAGCATGAACGTGTACAACAAGGACCGGTCGGCGGTGTTTGAGTCAGTATAATGTGTCTGAGTTGGGTATTCACGCTTAACTGCGGCATGGTATCTCAGTAAGCTAGCACTATAAAACCAGCATAAGTCTGGGCTGGTACAAACAGCCACGCATACACACGCATGCACGTCATCACACGCGCAAAATAATCTTAAGGACGACGTTAAACCACATTTCACCTCACCTTCACCCCACTATAGCTTCGTATTGATGCAATAAAAGACGTATTATCCTTTACGACTGGCCTGAGATCGATAATTGAAACTTCGAGGTGAACATCTTCCAAACAGAGAATACTTGCCATATATGGAATGTAAACAACTGCTCAGTAGATCGGGAACTGTCGCACGTGTCGGTGTTGGCTGAACTGGTTTCAGTCACATATTCGTAAAGTGCGCTCCAAGGGATATAACGCTATGGGGTTCGCTTGAAATATTGTTCGACCGGTAGAGGGCGGTAGAGTCAATTTAATGTAACGTTGTATACGTTACCATGCGTATTTTCTAAATAAATTATATGATAGCTTTCCTTTAGAGAAATGCATTATTTATTTTTCGAGAAGTGTGGTGTGATAAAGTGCCTTAAAGGAATAAAAATCTTCATATGCCCGTAAATTTATGTTCATTACAGGTTAAGTTGGTTTACATGTTTAAATGATTAATTCAATTTAGAAAAAAACAAACTGTTACAACATACAAATGCCACTTAGAACGAGGTCAAATGAAACATATATTATATCTGGGATTACACTTTCATAGTAAAGTACAGATTCTAGTACTTTTGTTGGGTTGAGTCCAATGCGGGACTCGAACCCACACACTCAGAGTCAGGCGCGTAAGTCAGACATGTGTAAGTCGCGGTGGCTGAGCCTCTAATGAAAATCATGGGTTGCTGAAGACCAACTCTAACGCGGATCTATTGGGAAACCAATATCAGAATTAAACTAGGATTGCCTCCTGGGCAATACTGTAGGTCTTCAGACTTCCCCATATACACCCCGTGGCTACTTTTACTTATCCTGTTTGTTTGGACGCCAGCTGGATCGCCCATTACAGTGTTTCTGAGATAGAATTACCTAGAAAGTAAATGTTAGTTAATGTGAAATGTTGACGCCCTAATTTGGTGCTGATTCAATGCATCTGACACAAACTGCAGAAAAACAAAGAGGAACGCACAGCCAAGCACAGCAAAGGACATGCCTCTTGAGAGATTATATCCTTCCAATTCCAGAACACTAACTCTTTTGAATGTAGACCTAAGAACAACGGAGTTACTGTTAAAAAGGGAACTATTTCTGTGGGCACTGGTAAACCAGGACGTGGGCAGTGCTAGATTTTACTGGCGCTTCCTGTGAGATGAGATAACTAACTAACTGACTGAAGGAAGCGCCAGTAAAATCTAGCAACACTCGCTGCTTCCTTCAGTTAGTTATGTCCCAACTGAAAAAATGCGAAATCCTCATGTCCCTCACAGTTTGTGGCGTAATTGTGGCGTAACTATTGACTTTTACATAATAATAATGTGAAGCAAAATTGTTCTACATTTTATTGTCTACATTTTGGTACCTTCAAACATGAAATCCATTGTGTCTTCGCAGAGCTGTGAACCCTATAAAAATGCGTTTTGCCAAAAATTGACCAACTTCCAAGGGCAATAACTCCGACACTATTCAAGATATCAACATGCATTGAACAACCTACGTAGTCCGGAGTGTGGGCTTTAAAACCATATATAGAACACTATTGTACTATTTGCCGTTCAGGAGCAGCAGATTGTTAAACACAGGCACCGTAAAAAAAGTGCGGAAATGTGCAAAATCGCGAAGGCTGTCTTTGTGTCGTAATGGTGACGTTATTATTGATTTTTTCATAATCATGATGTGAAGCAAAAATGTTTCCCATCCAATTACCTAGAGGATGGTACTTAGAAAAATGAAATACATAGATTTTTCGCAGAATTGAGACCTTTTTCTTAACCCTATGAAAATGCGTCTTAGAAAAATCACCAACTTCCAAGGGCGATAACTCCAAAGCCATTCAAGATATCGACATGCCTTGAGCAAACTAAGTAGTCCAGAGTATGGGCTTTCCAACGGCGTATTGAACATGATTGTACTATATGCCGTTCTGGAGAAGAAGATTTTCAAAGACAGGCACCGTCAAATCGTGAGAATCGGCAAAAAAATCAGTTTTTTCAAAATAGCGGAAAATTTGACCTGCCGGCCAACTTCCGGTATGTGTTCAATCGACGGGGAATGATGTTGTCTACATTGAGTGAAAATTTGGTCAATCTACCTCTTATAGTTTTTGAGTTATTCAGGTGCAAAGATTTCGACATTTTGGGTTCTCTGCCCTTACCGGAAGCCGGAAGTCGGGATTTTTTCGACTATGTATCAATTTCAGCACAGAGGCTATCATCCCTGAAAGTTTCATGCAAATCGACCAAGCGGTTAGGTCAGGAGAGCTGTCACAAAAAACGTACAAATAATAATAAGAATAATAATCCGGGTAAAAACAGTAGGTCTTCCAGACTTTCGTCTGAAGACCTAATTAAACTGCTTGTGTGAAAATCTCTTGCGGACTCATACGTAATGAATGTATGTAGTCACCAGGCGCCAATGAGGTAGTCAAATATCGCACATGAATGTATTAACGAAAGTACATGAGGCGTATAAATGAGTCAGCACTGAGCGAACAGATGGATTGGATGTTACCAAACCGGACAAAGTTGGTCTGTGACTCACACATACATATATATGTTTTCGGAATGGAATGTTCATGAATTTGTTATTGATAGACATGTAATATATTTTTAAAGATTTAAAACAGTCACGCAATTTTCATAGATCTTTGGGTGAGTTATAACTCTGGTAAAATACTTACGATATTGTTATTGCTTGGTATTTGTAAACCAGTTAAAAGCAGATGCTTTAGAGTAACGGAATCGCTAAATCGAAGCAGTATGCTCGTCAAGGTTAAACCATATACAGAACACCTACAAACAGTTTTAAACAGAACTCTCGATGTTGTGTGTCTTGTCCAATGTAACGTAGTCAGATAAATATTTGCTTACTGTTCAGATTGTGACTATGTATGTTCAGAATTCGTGAGCGTTATCCTGCCTTCTTTTAGGTGAATCTTTCCCACAAAACTAGCTGAATGTATGTCGTTTTGCATCCGTTTCGTAGACTTTATTCGACTTAATAAAAATATATTATGTTTCAAAAAATATTTATTAGTTCTATACCGCAGTTCGCTCCTTACGTGCAAAGCACTACCTCGTATCCTGGTATCCGAAAATATACACGCGCAAATTTGCCTACATAAGTAAATCTACATAGGGTGTGCAGTTTGCTGTGCGTTCATAGAGACTTTAAGTTCTTTGAGCAAAGTTGTAGTAAATCTTGATAATAGTTAATTTCTTCCCTAGAAATTGATCGCGTAAGATGTGAGATATCAAGAAGATGTTGGCATTTTCCGGTGATACCTCAATAGTCAGACACCCCACAAGTTAGACAGTAGAGCTGGGGTGGACCAAGTGCTCACCTACATTCATAACGGAGCAGTCCTAAATAGGCCTCAATGGCTCATCTCTTGCACAATAAAATCAAACTCCCATAGGTCAGCTTGGCGGTTAAAGTTTAATCCCTTTTAATTGATCCACTCACATAACATTAGGAGTCTTCTTGTGCATAGTAGATAAGGTGGCCTAATTATTATTGTGAGTAAATCACTACAAAAGAACAAAAGAACTGAGACAGACTTCTCAACTCAGGTTTCCCAGGGTGACGATGACTCTGTTCAAGCTGTCCTCGCGGAACTATCATGAGACCTTCAGCCCGAGGACCAACAACTGCCTTGAAAGATTTAACAGCCATCTGAATGCCAGCAGTCGTCACCCGAATGTCTTCAGACTGATCGAGATTCTCAAGAAGATTTAGAATGCCGACAAGTTGAAGATCACCCAGATTGACTTCGGTGCAGCTCCTGCGCAATCCTCAACCACCAAATAGGCCGAATGAGAGAGCAGCTGGAGCAAGGAAGCACGACTCCAGTGCAGTATTTGGAAGCTGTCGAAAAGCTCGTGATGCTTGGCTGAATTTGACTTTGCAGCTCCAAACTATGCCTGTAGTTCTAGTGAATATGACGATGTTACTTATATGCATATGATATTATGACAGTGACAAATATAATGAAACTTACAAAAGATGTTGAAAAAGGGTAAATATAAGTTAATCCATTTCCCCAATGGGTAACAGCCTTCATAAATTTGTTAACTCAACCGTTTAATTAGGTTTTTCCAAGTGTCTAACAAATGGGTTGTCTGACTATTGGGAGAACAACGTTATTTCCCATATTACATCAGTGTTGGTCTGATACTTGGATGTTTGGTATGCTGAAGTTGTTGGTAATCATATCACTGATGCCGAATGGTTGGGAAAATTTAGGATGCGACGAGAAACATATGAATTGATCTGCATTCGACTGAAAGATGAGCTCTTTCCCTCTGATCATACAGTCTAGGAACCATTGGATGTAAAGAAAAGGGTTGCTAAAACCATGCTCACCCTATGCGTTCATACGACCACATTTGCTTAGGGTAGCAACAAATAAGCATTTACTCACCGGTAATGAAACATTTGCACCTGGTCCAGGACAGGAGTATTTTTGCTTGAGGAAGTAAAGTTTGCATATGTGTAATTGCGTTTAAAGGACCGAATATACTCACGTAAGCAAATTTACACGTATGCCAAAAATACACACATGTGCAAATGTCGATGTATAAACAGGGTTTGTAAATTCGTTTCTTAATTTTGACTCGTTTTTTTGCAATTCCCTTTTCGCTTTAAGTCATTCTCAATAGACCCCCAATGGTGGTATATGAGTACATTCATCAATTATTACATGCAGTCGAAATGGCGGCGGAGTATAACACATGTATTGTAGAAAATCAGTTGTTGGTATAACACGTCTAGTATCTATATTATGTTATTGTAGAAAAGATAACATTTATAAACTTTGCTAGGTTTTTAAAACAGTAAAATCCCTGAGGTAGTAAACAAAATTCTATAAGATACAATATTTGAGTGTTTGAGCAATTTGGTTGGTATAAATTTTCTTCCAGATTCATGAAATGCAGGACTGCCAAATATATAAATGAACTCGTCTGCAGTTGCTGGCGAGTCACATAATTTACAAGTTCTATTATTCCAACGCCCCGTCTCAATTAGTAAACAATGATTAGATGTTCTGAAATTTAATAGTGGGTTATTACTATATTTCGGAAATAAGAGAAAGGCGTCAAGTGATGGCAGGGTCGTAATATATTTATAGTATTGTCCCTTAGGAGTTATTTCTATGGCATCCCTCCACTCTTGATAAAAGTAATCTTTTGTCCCACTTTCTACCATATTCAGCAGGTATGTTCGACTAAAAGTACCTGGACAGATATAAATATACATTACTAAGCCCGCATGAGTTTCGGAAAGTTTTAACAAATTTAAGCCAAGAATAGGAATGATCATTTACCACACTATCTAATGACCTGAAATTATAGATTACCTGCGACAATTTGAATTGGGACAGGGGCGTGGTGAGTTTATGCCAATAACTAATTATTCTTTTGGATACATGAATACTGATAGGATATCTTCCAAGTTCACCATATAAGAAATAATTCGGTGTAGACATTCTGAGACCAGAGGCTAATTTTAAACAATTGCAGGTATGTACGTTTTCAAGCATATCTATTTTGCCATGAACCCAAAATTCAGAGCTGCACAAATTAAGGTAAATCATTAAATAAAACGCTTTAAATACACAATCAAGTGGAAACTCATTATTTCTTGCCATCTTTAATAACAACAAACATACATGTCTTAGTTTGTGTAGCTATTACAGTAATACCAAAAGAGAACTTCTTATTTTTGTGAGAGTTAAAGCCCAAGTAGTTATAATTATCAATTATTTCAATTTCATCTGTGTCACAGTGAAACGATAGCTTATTACTTGCCACTTCCAAATATAACAATTTTAGTTTTGTCAACATTTCCCGCTGTAAGCAGAAACTAGCTTATACTTAAACCAGCTTATGCAGAAACTAGCTGCTATTGACGGCATGCATTGTGTTAATCGTCATTATATCATGCAATTTAACCTTTGGGGCTTACCTACAACCAACCGGGGACTTTACCAAGAGGTTAACTTTGACATCTACCGTTTAACCTTTCTCATACATTCACAAATGTGCTGTACGTATACAAATCCGGGTTAGTCATAGAGTCAGTCTCTGGACTGTCTATTCCAGATTCTGTCATATACATGCCGAGGGAATATCGCCGACTTTGGCTTTCAACAACAAACAGAAAAGCAAAAGTAAGCACCCACATATGAAGTAATATGACAATCTATAGGCTCATATGTTGACGAGTATTACAGGTTTTGTAGCTTGTCTTGTATAATTCAAATATCATTAACTATTGCTTAAATGGAGACTAGACATATTTATGGGTTTAGGATCCATAAAAGCAGCCAGCAAACATGCCCCTTGTCCACCAACAACTAGATATCACTCTAATAATAATACGTGTGAATTTATGATGCACCTTTTCCATGTACAAGGCACATGCTCAATGCGCTACACAATCTGATCATTATTACCTCGGATAACCCAAACTGCCAGTGAGGTGATAGAAGGTTAATGGTCTCATGGCTTATCCCACCGGGTACCCATTTACTACTGTCTGGGTGAAGAGATGCCATGTTGAACAAACTCACTTGCGTGACATGTATCACATGTGCTTCGTTGTGGGACAGGACTAATGTCCTGGAAACTCACAGAAGTCAAGCTGCCAAACACAGTCACCCATTGAATAACTCTCCGCGCTCAACGTTGTTTAACTTCAACTGATTTGTGACCTGAGCTCTACCCACAGGGCGACATACAACCACGTTTTACTGCATTTAACACCCTTAACGTGCTATGAATTTGTTGACAGACGTGGCAGGGAGACCGAGATCCTGCTGAGATGAAATACGCTTGAAATATACTTATATTTCCAATACAATGTATATTTCACATGGTTTCACTGAGCATTGATGTCTGCATATAGTCATAAAGGGAATACAATGACACGCAAGTAACTGATTTGACATTCTCTAAGTATTCCAAACGTATCGATGACCTGTTCCATTTTATGCCAAACTTGCGCAAATTGTTTAAAATTGTACTATTGCTTTTAAAGTTCTTTATATGGAAATATAATGGCAGTGATATATTTCTGACGTTTTAGATAAGGTCTGAAATAGTGAACTGTCCAAATTATTTCATACGGTATATGAACAAAAAATATTTTTTCATATATGTCACGCATGAACAGTTTGTGCTTCCATTGTGTAGCGGATGTGAAATATCAAAAACATGTTATTCTTAAAAATACACCATTTCAAATTTAAAACGTACACATAATACAATGATTATTCATTGATTTTTTAGATTTTCAGATATGCGCTTTGTGAAGTGTTATTATATGTTTTTGCATAATAGTTCTCAAATATTGAATATTAAAACAAAAACAAACTATTCTACATCGGAGAAAGCAATACATTTACAACAACTCGCAATTGTTCAAACAGAGGTTTCTAATAAGCAAGCACAAGGGACAATTGCTATTTATATAACTTGTAAGGCTTTAACATGTAGTTAAACAATCCCTGAACAAGAGGACTGTAGGTCACTGTACAACTGATGCACGGATGCGATATGAAGCTTTCATGTATGGAGCTTGAACTTTGTATTGCTATTTGGTGTTTGTGGTACATCCTTTCGTGTGCGCAGGACCGTCATAAACTTCACACGAATTGCATCCGACAGTTAGCGGATCACAGTACAATCTAGTGACAAGCCAACATTCCAGAAAGCAGATTTACAAACTGACACAATCATTTTCTAACATGACGGCTATTTTCATTATACATTTTATCTATGTGTACATCGTTTCAAACCCGTGAAGATCCGGGTTAAAATTGGTCTTCAGCAACCCATGCTTTTTGTAGGAAGCGACTAAAGGGAACGGGTGGTTAGGCTCGGTAACTTGGTTGACAATTGGTTGCGTATATCAATGCTCATGCAGTTGATCACTGGATTGTCTTGTACAGACTCGATTATTTTCAGACAGCCGACATATGGCTTGAATATTGCTGAATGCAACCAACCAATCAACATCGTTTCAAGCTTCAGTTCCTTCACATGGTATTCAACGAACGTCAAAATGTCCCTTGCAGTGAATGTGTTGCTTTCCCCATGAATTTAGGCGCTTATCTACATACAAGGATAATGTTCACGAAGATGTCTGCACACGCATAAGTAGAAACAGTAAGTTACAGCATGTGGAATTTATGCGTAGGGTCGTGGTACGAAACGGATTGCTAATCGGGAAAGAGGGCATGGGTACTGCAAATTCAACACTTCATTACTGCTTCATCCTGATTACGGAAAATTGGTAAAATCCATTTTAAGAGAAACAATATTAGAAGAATACTCAGAAACTGAGTATAACGGATAACTATAATGACTCTGATTACAGTGGAATCAAACTGAATAATTTATGACAGCTTATTTTTAGAGACCTTTTTAATGAAAGTCAGAGGAAAATCAATATCTTTTTCCCCATTCCTTAAAAAGAAAAATAACAACAGGACAACTGAACTATTAACTAAAATTAAGGATTGTGAAGATACGATGAGGAAAAGTTATCAAAATATTGATGAAAATCTGCTTTCTGAACTCTCAAACATCAAATAGAATTACAAACACTAAAGGAAGAAGAAATAAGAGGAATACCAATCAGGAACAGAATATTATGGTATAAAGAAGGTGAAAAACCAACTAACTATTTTTGTAACCTAGAAAACAGAAATTTTGTCAGCAAATTAATTAATAAAATTAAAACAGATAATGATAAGGACAGCTTTTCAATTCTGAATGACGTCAAATCCTTTTATAAGAAATTATATACATCAAACAAAAACTTGAATGAAGAAGAAGGTTTACAGAATTTTATAACTCCCACACTAAATGATGATATGAGAAACACACTTGAAAGGGATATTGATTTAATTGAGATTACCTATGCAGTCAGAAATATGAAAAATAACTAAAGTCCAGGAATTGATGGTTTTCCAAAAGATTTTTTCATTTTTTTCTGGAATGAATTAAACGTCTGGATTTTTACATTTATTAAAGAAGTCTCAACTAAAAGGAAATTATCTTTGGCTATGAAAAGGGGAGTTATAACTTGTATCCCTAAACCAAATAAAGATAGACCTTTCTAAAAAAAATTGGAAAACAATAACTCTTTTAAATGTCCTTTATAAGATAATCATCACTTGTATCACAAACCGGTTAAAGAAAACATTAGATTTACTTATTCATGGTAATCAAACTGGATTTATTCCAGGCAGAACCAACCATTAGTGAAAACACAAGACTACTATATGATATTATGTTTGAAACCCAAAAAAAGAAACGTTCCAGGTTTACAAACTTTGATTGATTTCGAAAAGGCTTTTGATACTGTCTCCAAAAGGTTTATTGATTTAGCCCTGGAAACATTTGGTTTTGGCCCTCAACTTAGGAGCTGGACCTCTTAACTTTAGACACAACATCCTGTGTAATTCAAGATGGCTATTCATCAGATTTTTTTACAAATGAAAGAGGTTGCAGACAAGGAGACCCCATATCCCCTTACATATTTCTCTTTCTAGCTGAAATTTTAGGTTGCATGGAAAGAGCATATAAAGACATAAAAGGAATTACTATATATGATAAAGAATATAACCTTGGACAGTATGCTGATGACATAGAATTATTTCTTGATGGCTCAGAAGATAGCCTGTATGCTGCTATCAATACATTGAATACCTTTTACACAATGTCGGGTCTTAAGAAAATATTGATAAAACTAAAGCAATCTGGATAGGATCAAAAGCGGGTAGTGAGGAAAGATTATGTAATGATATAAATATAGAATGGCACAAAGATGAATTTGAGGTATTAGGTATCAAATTTACTTCAATACTATGTGACTTATAGGTGATTAATACTAGAAAAAGGCTTGATGAAATTAACAGACTATTGGCCGTCTGGAGAAAAAGGCATTAAACATTAATAGGAAAGATTACAGTTATCAAGACATTAGCAGTTTCAAAACTAGTCCATATTTGTAACACATTACCAAATCCACCCAACACTTTTATTACTTCACTTGAAAGAATATTCTTCAAATTTATTTGGAATGGAAAAAAACGATAAAATTAACAGACAAACTATGAAAAGATTGAGAAAAGAGGGTTGATATACAAACTTTTATTGAACCTTTAAAAATTTCCACTTTGAGATTACATTGTAGGAAAATCACGGCAAATAATCCATGTAATATACCCTTCAATAATATATTCAAATTTGATATCCAAAACCCTTATTGGATTGATGTTCCAAAGGCATGGACTAGATATTGTGAAAAGACTGAAGTTGATGCAGAAAACATTGATGATATTCTCGCACAGCCTTTAAGGTTTAATCACAGATTAAAAGATACTCATCACTTCATAAAACACTGGGCTGATAAAGGAATTTTAACTATTAGAGATATATGTGATAATTCAGGATTAATGCCTTTTGAAACATTAAAACACATGTGTAATATAAGTGGAACAATGTTGAATTACAATTATGTATACACGCCCTGCCTATATCATTCAAACTATTAGAAATATCAGGATGATACCTCTCAACAATATGAACATGGCCTTTTGTAACAAAAGCCTCATTGCAGCTTCAAAAGGATCAAGATATTAAACTTCTTGATTTTCAGTTTAAATTCTTACATGGAGTAATATATTCCAAAAGGGAGCTTTAGAAAATGAAACGAGTAGATTTTGACTAGTGCAATTTTTGTAACGACCTACAGGAAACAATCTGTCATGTATACTGGAATTGTAAGGAAACCAAGATTTTTTTAAATGAGCTTGAGATCTGGATCAATAAATACCTCATTAAAGAAATCAAAATATCAAAATACCCAGTTTGGTTTAGTACTTCACAAGCCAACAAAATACTAAACCATTTCATTTTCTCTGCAAAGAGACATATCTATTTATGTAATATCAAAAAACAATTCCCAAATTAAATAACTATCTGAAAACTTTAGAATTCATCTTTCTTGCAGAAAAAAAATTATCTAAAAGAAACAATGATGTAGAAAATTTGGAATAAATGGTTTCCTTTCATCCCATTTCTCAATCACTGACTGTCCAACCATCCTTTAGAAGCTAGTATGTGTCAACCTATCTTATTTGTATATTGCTTTTGTTACTGTTGCGGCAGAGTAGCCTTGTCGGTAAGTCTTTGGCTCGTCACGCCGGGTTCTATCTCATGGGTACTGTCTGTGGGACACTCTTCTGGTATCCCCTACATGATATTGCTGGAGTGTTCCGGAGAGCGGCGTAAAACCATACTCACTCACTCACTTCTGTTGCAATAATATGTTTGTATATATGTAACTATGGAATGAATTAAAAAAAGTCTTTTTTTGGACCAGACTAGTTGTTGACGATTAACAGTTACAAAATAATCAAGTTCATACACATGCATGACTACCCAGAACATCAGGGTATTTTCTTATATGGGTGAGAAGACAGAATTGTTGAAACCTAAAACTGTATAATGATATAATGGTTTGAGTTAATTCAAAAAGTCTGATTAACTTGAAGTAGATTTATCATTATTTGCTCTTCTAAAAAGTAGGGAACGTCATCTTTAATTTATGATTGAAAACATTGGGAGATATATCGGAGTCAATCAATGCTGGTATGATAATAATGAAAATTTTCAGAGTGCATCACCACTTGCACTAATGACCATAGCTTTTTGTACGGTAATCGCTCTTGTTAGATTGTTGGTGTATGACGCATGAAATTTGCATGTGTGCGATTTTCATTTCAAACATAAGCACCGTCTTAAAACAAACACCGAGGACTGTGTGATGCTAGTTGATTGCCAAAATCAATGGTCTACGGTGATTTATCGACCATCTTGAAAACCGTCAAAATCAAGAATGACACCCCATCACGTGTATGGGGCTACTGTGCTGTGCACGTGCATCCCATGCGTGCTGTTGAGGGGAGGTGATACAGAGAAATCGTGGTACATAAGATGCCTGTCTTTGAAAAGTTTGTTAACGCTTATACTTCCTATCCAAATTGAATGTTCAGGTTCCCCTACCTTCTTTGAAGAGTGTCGCTTACGAAAGATTACAAAACTTGACAATCATGAAATAACGTATATTATATTTGGGATTGCACTTTCTTAGTAAAGTACATTTTCTAGTACTTTTGGGGTTGAGTCTACCCGGGATTCGAACCCACACTGCGACTTATACAAAAATGGAAGTCGAACAACTGGTAGTCTAGATGGAAAAACAGACTTTGTGTGCCCCTCGGATGTGTTAATTGGCACGGATCCCACGACCGAAAGCTATGATTACACAATGCCATTAAGAAAGAGGTCAAATGTAACATATGCTATATTTGGGATTATACTGAGCGGTGGCTGAGCGGGTTGGCTGACTTTGTGTGCTGTCAATTAGATGCCTGACTCTGAGGGTGTGGGTTCGAATCCCAAGTTGGGCTCAACCCAAAAAGTACTAGAATCTGTACTTTGCTCAGAAAGTGTAATCCAAAATATAACATACGCTACAGTCGATCACTTTCTAAATGGTATGGTGTATTCAGTCATGATATAGTTCATATTCACTCGGGTATGACATCATTTGCTGACACCAAACGCTGTGACAGTTTGTTGATTGTGCACGTCATGGTGAATGTATCAATGTTAAATGGAGATGAGTAGACTATCGCTCAGTCTCTAAAAATATATAAATATGTTTAATTTTGGTAGAAGCAATTACTGCACTTAAACTGAATAGAAGACCCAGTGAGAAGGAGATTCACAGCTGAACCAAGAAGAAAATCTACAATTGCTCCATTTGATACTTTCCCGTTCAGTGGGGAAGACATATTGTTTGAGGGACTCGAAAGGGTTTAATAGACAGTGTAGATTTCCCATGTTTTTTGATCTGGTGGTCAGGTGTGTCCGGACCTTATAGCCTTCAATATTGCTGAGTGTAGCGTTAAACAATAAACAAACAAATATTTATATACCCAGGAGGAGCCATGTAAAAGTAAAACCAATTAACTTGAAAAGAGTTAATACCTGAGTTCGACAACATTGGGAATTACATAAAAAGTTAAAGTCACCTGATCAACAGTTATCAGGAGAATAGAAGATGCTGTAGACTATCCGTGCAGTTATATGTGAATATTCTGGGAAGACATTTTACGTTTTTGAACAAGTACTGTTAGAACATGTACACATACAAGAAAACTTGATTAGCCTTTTGAATGGAGGTATTTTGTTTCTCATCTATGTAGGCTCTACAAGGACTAAAGCAATGTGGCTGCTCTTTTGTGTTTGAGCTGTTCGTGCTGTTCACAGCAGTTGGTGAGATATAAAATTATTTCATTTTGAACTCGCATTAATTCCACTGTAATATTAAGCAATTGCAGCGGAACGTATTGCTCAGGACCTACCCCTCTAATATACTAATGTTTCGCACGGCAATCTGTATTTATATGTGGCACCTCTGTCAATAGCTTTGTATTTATTTTTATGTGATAGTTATACGTATAACAGATACCATACTGATGATAATAAAATGTCATTCTTTGCATATAAAACATTACTGGCCCAGTGCCGCTACGATAAAACCACTCACGTATATTTCTGATCTTTGTATGAGGCCGTAATATGACACCGTATGATATGACACCGCTTTTACACTACTAAAATAATGAGGACTGTACTAAAGAAGTAACTCACTTTGTATCTTAAATCTGCAGTGAAACATTTTTGTTATTGCAGCTGGAGAATGTCATTGCTACAATCGAAGTACCTGCACAGCATCTCCGGCAACCACTTGTCGCAACCATGGCGGATGTATTAAGGGATGGTTCGGTCCGACCTGCCAGAAACGTGAGCAGTGATGTTGCCATATTTAGAACGTAGGGGAAGGAGACATACCCATTATTCTTCAAACATAACTCATTTGCAGTCTATTCCGCAATACGTTGATCACAAACGTCACACACCTACCAGTCCGACTATGTTCACTTTCAAATCACCTCCATGTAACCTAACTATGGGGTGTGAATATAATATAAGTTGTTCATTGCTTCTAGTTCAGCGGAATCAGTTTGAAGAAACTCTGGCCATGTGCCCACGTGCAGTTACTAGTCGTTACATCCCATGACATCATCAATAAACACATTTCTTCTTTAACCACTATAAATTTCTCTTTCAAATTGCAGTTTTCATAACTGTGAACCACTATGACGTCAAACGTCTACCGGTTTTACACTAGTGTAATATTGCCGTAAAAATTATCACACTGCAGTATCTTCCACGGGCGAGTAATGATGTCGTATATAGTCTGCTTTACTGATGTTACGTTCATTTTTGTTTTGTTTTTGTCCTGCCATCGTAAAGTAATCACCTTTACTTGGTTATATGTAAGTTGCGTAACCTTTTTATAAAACTACTTTATGTTAACTTATGAACAAATGTATCTGTTAATGTGTTTTATTCGAGACTGATATTGATTCAAATGCATGTAGTTTAACTAAATTGTTTCATCAGAAAACGTTGCCCTGAAACAACCTGCAAATCAGTCCTCCAACTACTATGAAGCTAATGAAACTGCCCAGCCACTAAACCTGACAGCGGACTATGCGGTGGATGGAATAATTTCAAGTTACTTCAATGAAAGTCCGTGTGCACAAACTAACACTGGAGACACACTGCCATCATGGAAAGTATTTCTCAATACAAGCAGCCATGACAAAATATACCACATGAAAGTGTATCTCAAATATACATGTGAGTATTGTAGCGCCCATAGCAACATTTTATTACTTATTTATGAAACAAATATATGCTCACGACATAGTCACAATTATACAATCGAAACTTTATTTCTAATGGATGTGGAAAGCGTTTTGTCGCTTTTATCTTATTAATATGATACATGTAAAACCTGAAAATGATGTTTTCCCAGATCATCTAATTATTCTAGTGAAACTTTAAAAGTACAAGTAAACGATGTGACGTTAGCAAAGTGGAACATCTAAATAACTCATAATTAGGCAATGCTGTTCAATGGGTATGATTACAGCGCCAAGTCGAAATGGGGGGCATACTGATTTTGGTAGACAACCAGGTCTGCTACGCTTGGTCACTTCCTGGGCGACCTAATGAGGCCAAGGATGTCACTTGCCTGAAGCCACTATCAGGAACCTCTGTTACCATATCGACATTACGTGAGCTTCTCACTCTGTGTGAGGTAGAGATATTTGGTACGTAGACTGTTCTATCCAAATGTCAGCAATGGTAGCCAGAACTCCAAAAATATGTTAATAATAATGTTCATTTTACTCCTTACCCGTGAAGATCCGGGTTAGAACATTGATCTTCAGTAGCCCATGCTTGTCGTAAGAAGCTACTAACGGGATCGTGTGGTCAAGCTCGCTGACTTGGTTGACACATGTCATCGTTTCCCAATTGCGCAGATCGATGCTCATGCTGTTGATCACTGGAATGTCTGGTCCAGACTCGATTATTTACATACCACCGCCATATGGATGGAATATTGCTGGGTGCGGCTTAAAACTATAAAACTCACTCACTCATTTTACTCCACTCAATTTTACTCCTTTTGCCAACTTCTTTCCTGATTTAAAAACAATACAATCTGTATGAATCGCCAGATTTACTTTCACCAAATATATCGATCCGACTCCGAGTGAGTGTTGTATGCAGCGTCTGTCTGTGGGTCCCTCGTGGGTAGAACGTGAGTGAATGTTATTATTTCCAGAGGCATCAAGCCAAGAGAGTGTGCATTTAACTCTTTTTTTTGTGTCTAATAGCAATAGTTGAAGAATAAACCTGACGTTGGACCATAGGTGTTTTGTCAACGTTGTTATCAGGCTAGTTTATTCCATAAACAGTAATGTTTCTGCACATCGCAGTGACCTGTTAATGATTAAGTCCGGAGAATCAAGTCACTGAACAAATGAAATGAGATGCTATGCACAATCACACAAATCACAGATAGGGACCAACTTGACGAGAAGCAATGGCTGTACACCATGGACTCACAGCAGAGGTATACAACACGCGAGTGATTGGGCAGTGAATGTGCGTCTCTTCGAAAATTATTCCAGTGAGCATTTCAGCATTTAACGTACACACATGATGCGACCAAAACCACTTTTTCAATATAGTTTGCAGTGACGGCTGGTTTGGTGATGACTGTGACAAACAATGTCACTGTCTGGACAACAAGGAAGTATGTGACAAGATCACTGGATACTGCTCTAGTGGATGCACTCCTGAATTCACCGGCGCAAACTGTCAGACACGTACGTACATGTTATTTATTTACCCAGAATCACCAATGAAGTGCCCTTTATTTATACTACATGTACAACGACAAGATGACATAGGAAAAACTCCCTTAAGTACCATAAGTACATTTTTAAAAATGCACGTAGCAAAGGTACTGTAAGTCCCCATGGTCCCTAGTATGGTGATCTACCTTCAGTTGTTGGCGATCTATAGCCTATTTTCATATTGTGCTGTCCCCTATAGTTGAAATGTTTTAGATTTAATTACTAGTTTTAAATTCGAATCTGTGACAATCTAGTTATTTTACTGTCCTTCGTTGACAGGTTTTTACAGTTTACCATTACTTACTATGTATAAAATTAATTGTTCTCGTCACGATATCGCTGAAATATTGCCGATGTGACGTTAAATTTTAACTCACTCACTCAGTCACTCACATGTAAAAAGTACTATTTTTGAGTTTTAGTCATGATATACTCGCGTGAAGGCGGACCATGGATTTACGCGTCCTTAACACTATATCAGCATGTGTTTCGGTGTTTAAGGTACAAATACGAAGGGATCAATACTGTCTCTGTTATATAGTTTGCAGTGACGGCTGGTTTGGTGACAACTGTGACAAGCGATGTCACTGTCTGGACAACAAGGAAGCATGTGCCAAGATGGCTGGACAATGCTCTAGTGGATGCACTCCTGGATTCACCGGCGCAATTTGTCAAACACGTACGTACATGTAACTTATTGAATCAGAACATCCAATAAACACGGGTGCAGTGCAGTTCAACGACAATCTAGCAGTGAAGAAAATCCTGACAGAATATGAGTAAAATCTTTAGTTTTATCACCTGAGAATCTCACTATGAAAAACAAACAAATAAGTATATGTACCTGAAACTATCCGAATACAGTAATCACTGCTGACAATACCTAGTTTGTTTAGTATGCACTGGTGAACAGAAAAATACATTGAACTAACTCAGGAATTACATGCAACGATGTTCCTATACGAATTTCGTATTTTCTTAAAATCTGGATACGAGATCTGACTTTGTACCTCCTCGCAAATCACCTCCATGTACATTTACTCACATGGGTTGTGACTAGTGTTCAGTGTTTCTATTTTAATGGAGTCTGCATACCCACGGGCTGTTGTATGTGTAAGTTTATGTTCTCTCGCCCACTCTCTAACGTTTTCAGTGTTTCTAGTTAATTGGAGTCAACTTGAAGACCAAGTGCTAACGTGCATTTGTTATTTGATTCTTTCCTATGACATTATGAGATCGTCAACTGATTACAATTTCCTTTCTTTAACCACTAATTCTCTTTCAAAATGCAAGTTTCTTTTAAGTCATATTTTGATTCGCTTGTCTTGTGATTGTCACTTACATTTTAAATGTATCCAGTGCGAAAACTGTTACATGCAGTACAATCGTTTGAATATGATGTATTACATGGAATCGGATGGGGTAAGAGTGCCCGGGGAACTGTGCACTGTGACTCAGTATTGTATGTAGTTTGTTTTATTAGTGTTTTGTTCATTTTTGGTTTTTGTTTATCTTCCTACCATGATAACCATATATACGTGGTCATTCTTAAGCTGCTTAATATTTTATACCACTACTTCATGTTAACGCTTGAACAAAAGCATCTGTTAATGTACATTACGTCTAGATTGACAATGGGCATTCAAATCACTTAAAATATATATTCTAACTAAATGTTTTCATCAGAAAACGTTGCACTGAAAAGAACTGCAGTTCAGACATCTGTCTACTATGGACCTCACGAAAACGCCCGGCTACTTAACCTGACAGCGGACTACGCGGTGGATGGAAGAGTTTCAAATCTCGCCAGGAGCAGTCCATGTGCTCACACTGACCATGGAGACACGACTCCATCATGGACAGTATTTCTCAATACAAGCGAGCCGGTTAAAATACACCGCATGAAACTGTACCTCAGCAAAATATGTGCGTATTGAAGCGACTATACCAACATTTCCTGACATGATAAATACAAAATCTAAACTGATACATATCTTTATATCATCAAATTATTCAAGTAAAATTGACATTGAAGAAAAACAACCTCTCTGACGTTTGCAAAGTGAAATATGCAAATAACTCACGATTAAGCAATACTGTTTCTCACCAAAATGTATCTTAAATCTACGAAATGTATACGATTACAGCGCCAAGACGGAATGATGGCATGGAGATTCTGGTGGACAACCAGATCTGCTACGATTGGTCACCAACTGAACGACCTGATAACATAACGGATGTCACTTGCCGACAGCCACTATCAGGAACCTCTGTTACCATACGGACACCACAGGAGTTTCTCACTCTGTGTGAGGTACAGATATTTGGTATGTATCCAGTTACATCCAAACATCAGCGATAGCAGCCAGGAGTGCAGAAGTCTCTAAATGCCCATGTCATGTTCATCTTTTTCTTCTTGTTAAGATTTTGCCAACTACATGTACTACAAATTCATATTTATTTAAAAGCTATATTGTTCGTCATATTTACTTTCACGTAATTTATCAATCCAATTCCCAGTGAGTGTCGTGTGCAGCGCTTGGGTTCATCAAGGGAAAAATGTCCTTTTTGTATATTCAGGGGAACCAAAGTAAGGGAGGGGGCATTTAATCGAACTTGTTTCATGGATATAGTTCAACGTCAATTCATCTTGAAGAATGTATTGCATGCTGTGGGATGGCATTGGTGGATTGGTACAAACATTTGAGGCTAACTGCGGGTACTGAGGAATAAAATAGACAGTGATCAAACGTTGGAACAACATTGAAACAAGACTGTGCCACCGATGTTTTACCCACGCTGGTCCAACGGGCTCTCAGCATTTATATGACACGCGACTGAGGGAGAGAGAGACTGGACTTGTGCCTCTTTGAACATATTGCTCAGTGTGTATTTCAGTGTTTAACGTACATGTATGAGTCCAATACAATCATTCTTTTATAGTTTGCGGGGCCTTTGGGTTAGCCTAGTCGTTAAAGCGTTCGCTCGTGTCGTCGATGACCCGATTCCCCACATGAGTACAATGTGTGAAGCCCATTTCTGGTGTCTCCTGTTATGATTTAGCTGGAATATTGCTACAAGCGGTGTAAAACCCAACTCACTCATTATTATATAGTTTGCAGTGACGGCTGGTTTGGTGACGACTGTGACAAACAATGTCACTGTCTGGATAACAAGGAACTATGTGACAAGATTACTGGGCACTGCTCTAGTGGATGCCGTTCTGGATTTACCGGTGCAAATTGTCATACACGTACGTACATGTAATTTATCTACCCAGAATCACCAATGAAAGCAGGAGCAGTGTATTGTTACCTAAAATGATAAAATATATATGACACTCTCCTTTTCGAAATATCAGTCCAAGGATCAATACTATCTCAGTTATATAGTTTGCAGCGACGGCTGGTTTGGTGACGACTGTGACAAACGATGTCACTGTCTGGGCAAAATGGACGTATGTGTTAAGATGACTGGACACTGCTCTACTGGATGCATTGATGGATTCAGCGGCGCAAATTGTCAGACACGTACGTACATGTAACTTACTGAATCAGAAAATCCAATATACAAGGTACAATGTATTTCAAGGATATTCCTGAGCTGAAGAAAACCCTGAAAGAGGACGAGTATTCTGTTTATCCCCTGACAATCCCACCATGAAACAAGCAAGCAAGTATATAAAAAATATAAAACTTTCCGAATACAGTAGTCAGTGCTGACAATGCCTAGTTTGTTTACTATTCATTGTTAAACGGAAAAGCTAATTGAGACAAACTCAACAATGAAGTCAAGCAGTGTCCTTATACACATTTCGTATTTTCTGGAGACAAGATCTGACTCTGTGCCATCTTACAAATCTTTTTTATGTAAATTTACTGACATGGATTTTGATTACAATTCAGTTTTTCTTATTACCTGGAGTCATTATACCGACAGACGTCTGTATGTGTAGATTTAGGTTCTCTGGCTCACTGTCAATCTGTTCAGCATTTCTAGTTAAGTGGAGTCAGTTTGATATCAGTCAGCAGTGAATGCACTGTCAGGCACAAGTGCTAACGTTATTTGTTGTTACTTACGTTCTCATGACATCACGAGATCATCAATTAATACAGTTTGCCTTCTTTAATCACACTCATTCTCTCTTTCGAATTTACATTTGGATTCCTTTTGACTTACACGTAAACATATCCAGTGCAATACGTTCTGATAGTATTGTACAATCGTTTCGATATGAATTATTACATGGAATCGAATGGGGAAAAGAGCCCAGGGAAGTGTGCCGGCATCAGAACTTAATGTTGAATGTAATCTGTATTACTACTGTCATATTCGTTTTGTTTTCTGTTTATGAAACACTTCCTTCTACCCTCGTAACCATATTCGCATGACTTGTTGCTTTATCTTTATGCCACAAATTCAAGTTAAGATTTGAACAATGCATATGTTAATGTATATCATATCTATTCTAACGATTTTGTTTTATCAGAAAACGTTGCACTGAAAAGACGTACAACTCAGTCCTCTGATTACAAAGAAGTTTCTGTAACCCCGCAGCCAATGGACTGTAAAGCAAAGTATGCGGTGGATGGGATCATTTCAAATCAATTAAGTCAAGACACTCCGTGTACTCACACTGACGGTGGAGACATGACACCATCATGGACTGTATTTCTCAATACAAGCAGCCATGATAAAATACACCACATGAAACTCTATCTTCGCAAAACATGTGAGTGTTGTTTCGTCTATATCAACATTTAATGAATTATGATAAATGCAAGATCTGATACGAATGCTTTAGACCATCCAATGATTCAACTGGAATTGCAAATTAGGTACATACGTTGTGACTTTAGCAAAACCTAACATCTAAATAACTACCAGTTAGGCAATACCGTTCATCACTGACATTTATCATGAAATACATGCAATTACAGGGCTAGATCGAAATAATGGCATGGAGATCCTGGTGGACAACCAGATCTGCTACGATTGGTCACCAAGTGGACGACCTGATTACATAACGGACGTCACCTGCAGACAGCCACTGTCAGGAACCTCTGTTAACCATACGGACGCCACAGGAGTTTCTCACTCTGTGTTAGGTGCAGATATTTGGTATGTACCCAATTACATCCAAACATCAGGGATAACATCCAAAACTGCAAAAATCTGTTAATTCCAAAAAAATGTTCATCTTACTGTTTTTCTTAAGGTGATGCCAACTACTTTCACAAGTTCATATTTCATTAACAGTTGTATTGTTCGACAGATTTACAAAGCCTCAAATGACATAACTTTTTGTGTGTAAATATCAGTACATTGATTGTTTGTTGAAAGAAAGTGACATCAAATAATGCCACGTGTGGCCAGTAAGTGGGGAAGCAATCTGCCAAAATCAGCCATCAATGCTATTAACTTATAGCTTGACTCTGCAACCAGAAGGCATATAGATTTCAAAGCTGAATATAAATGAGTACAAAGAGAGATATTTTGCTTGATCCAGCAAATGTACCACCCAACCCCAGGCTCAAAGATCAACCATATTCTTTAATACTATCAGGGAAGGAACATTTCTATATCCACAAAACGTATTTGAGAAAGCGGAATTAACATCTTGTGGGTTCTCTAAAACTGAAATGGTTTGTTTGATTTTTATCCCCCCAGCATAAAATGCGTCCATCTGGCTGTCAGCCTGTTCGTCTGTCCGGGCATATATGTCGTTTCCGGAGCATAACTTAAATACCGTTTAATATTGTTATAAAATTGATTGATATATCTAGCAGAACCTGAAGTGGTGCATTTTGCTATTTACAGTCTCTAGGCATGTTAAATGTTCTAAATTTTCATGGAAACAATTTGGTCTCAAGAAAGGGTGGATGTCGTTCCGGAGCATAATTAACAAAACGCTTACACTATATGTACAAGATATATCAAACAGATCCTGGGTGATGTGATACACGATCAAGCAGTTGTAAACAAAATGGGGGTGTGTCTCTTTGAATATAATTTCAATGTGTATTTCAGTGTTGAACGCACACGCAGGAGTGACCTATACCAAATTAATTATATAGTTTGCAGTGACGGCTGGTTTGGTGACGACTGTGACAAACAATGTCACTGTCTGGACAACAAGGAAGTATGTGACAAGATCACTGGACACTGCTCTAGTGGATGCACTCCTGGATTCAGCGGCGCAAACTGTCATACACGTACGTACATGCTAGTTATTACCAATAATATTTAGATGCAGTGCATTTTCACCTTCAATGAAAATACATGCATGCATAAAAGTCATCAATTATCTCCCTTGCTAGTACACACAGTTGATGTTGAGCTCTGATAAAAATTGTCAATAGTATCTTTCAAAAAGAAGAGAAACCACCGGAACAGTGGAGAAGTAAAACATGGGGGTTCCCCTGGAAGTTTTGAGGAGCAGAAATGGCAGATCTATGCACCCCAAAGGTACAAAACAGATTGGAACAGTTGAGCCCTACATCCCGATGTCGACATGGACGTCAGGTATGGCGGACGGGTACAGGTTTGTGTTGTGTGGATCTCTGCTGCTGGCACTGGCTGTTCTAGGATGCCCTAACAGCACTGTGGACCCGAGACAGAGTACCAACACTGATTCATCCACCATCTTTGTGTGCCCAAGGTGATTTTTGCAATGTTTCGTCACCAACGGTATGTTTGTTTACGTATCGAAAACCGGACGGTCTAGTCACATCTACATTATCTCGTAGTGCTTATGTACCATCTATGATACACAGGGCAGGGGATGTTGAGTTAAACCCTGGTCCCTCTGGCAAGGAATTTGATGATCTCAAGAAGGGCATTATTACCCAAATTAGGGAATCCGAAGAACGATTACTAGTATCAAAATATATTAGTTCAGATTCAAGCTTTAAAATGGGTAAAAGATAATGAACACGAAGCAATAATTTTTACTGATTCGTTGTCAGCTGTACAAGCAATTCAATCAGGTGTACAAGGTCCACGCAGTGACATACTATACGACATCTTGTATCTTGATACTGTTTTAAACTCCATGTACATCAGCTGTGATATTGTTTGGATTCCTGCACATGTTGGTGTAGCTGGAAACGAAGTAGTTGACACAATTGCTAAGATGGCTTGCAACAGACCACAGCCAGATATTCATTCAATTAAGCCCATTCCAAGAGATTACTGGTTTGTCATTTCGTCTTCAATAAATACATCTTGGCAAAATAAATGGGATAATGAAACTACAGGTAGACACATGTACTCTACTTGTCCTGTAGTAAACAAACATTTTAAAATTCGTCGGCGTTGTCGCAGAGATGAAGTTGTTTTAACTCGTCTCAGGCTGGGACATTGTGGATTAAAGGCATATAGAAGTATTTTAGATAAAGACTTATCTCCTCTGTGTGAAAGCTGTAACTTACAGTGCCCAGAAACAGTTCAGCACTACCTCATTGAATGTCCAGCTCATGAAAACCCACGTAAGGCTCTTAAAGACACTGTACTTAACAAAACCCAAAATACCTTTTCAATGAACGCAATACTTGGCAATAATTTAATGTATGGTTGCATACAAAGAGTTGTTTTAGACTTCCTCGTTAAAACGGGTAAGTACGATGTTATTTAACTGAACAAAAATATAACAGTTTGTTAAGTGTTGGGCGCATATAGGCCTTTTAAGGCCCAAGGTCGCCCTAAAACTTTATATACATACATACATATTAGTTCAGTTAAAGAGGACATAAAATCAATACAAGATGACATAACGAAGTTGAAGACAGATGTAATGAAGAACAAAGTAGAACAAGAAATCATGAGGCTGAATATTGACGCCATTAACGATAAAACCGTTTAAATGGAAAGTTATCTGGGTAATCTTGAATCCAGATTGGAGGACCAAGAACAACGAAACAGAAGAAACAACATGGTGTTGTATGGCATATCAGAAACAGGGAAGGAGGCATATACTGAGAGTAAAACCTGAACAGTGCCAGGGAGGTGAAGACACTCCAGCCATTATCAGCCAGAGACATAGAGAGAGCTCACAGGGTATCCTCTCCCAGACAGGACAAGACCACACCCATCATAGTGAGAATCTGCCACTGGGAGGATAAATGGCTTTCAGTAAAATTGAGAGATGCTTGCGTGAGAAAGGAATCGGTATTGCCAACGATCTCACACCACATCAAAGGCAAGAACTTAACAGGTTAAGATCAAATAACCCAGACACCAGCTACTATTACGAAGGAAATAAACTCATCGAGGAACCAAAAGAGAGCTCTGACCAACAGGACAGAACCAGGCGTTCAGATGGGAGAGATGTACCTCTACAAGCTACACGACAAGGCCTGAGATCTAGCCCACTCCCGAGCAGTGAACAGATCAGATAGGTGTGAGCCACAGAGATTTTACGTCTCATCATCAGGATGAGACTGCCACTGACAATCACACATGTGTTAAAGACTTTGTTCAATTCATATTTTGGAATATATCACTTATGTTATATTTACGATTGCAGTTTCTCAGTGAAGAACAGTTTCAAATGAAGATAACACTAAACCATCCTGACCCGTGAAGATCCGGGATAGAATAGTTCTTCAGCAACCCATGCTTGCCACAAAAGGCGACTATGCTTGTCGTAAGAGGCGACAACGGGATCGGATGGTCAGGCTCGCTTACTTGGTTGACACGTCATCAGTTCCCTGATGCGCAGATCGATGCTCATGCTGTTGATCACTGGATTGTCTGGTCCAGACTCGATTATTTACATACCGCCCGGATATAGCTTGAATATTGGTGAGTGCAGCGTAAAACTAAACTCACTCACTCACTCACTAACCATTCTCGTATTTTATGACTGTTCCTCCTGAGTGCACATTTGATTGAATTTCCCAACTTGAATACGACAATGTTATGCCTTCAGTGACTCACAGTTCCTATTTCCAATGATTTTAGGTTTTCCTTTGTCCGATAGTATTGCACTTAACGATGAATCAAGGCGGCAAATTCATAAACACATTGCACGATTTCTGCCGTTTGTTGTGTCTTTTGAAGTAGTTTGCATGTAACACTGTTATATGTTTCCATTTCAGTTAATTACCAACACCCCGCTGTAAATAATGATCAACCATGTTCTTATCTCATAACGTTAGCAGTTGCAGTATCATGTGGAGCTGTCATATTGATCATTGTGCTGGTGGCTTCTCTTTGCATCAGAAGGTGAGCAACAGCTTATATCGGCCTGTTATTAGTACTTAGGATTTATTGAATAGGTTTGTTAAAATGTTCTTTTGTGTTACTTTCAACATCTACAATACGTATTGAGTTTATTCAACATTCTGACGTGCACAGCAAACGCCCCATCTCTAAACTGTCCCAAAATGTATCCATTGTCTTTTCACTGTTTGTCTACAAACAAGACATCGACATGTAGCCGGTATATGCCATTTATGGAAATGACATTTGAACGACAAAACCAGTTCCATTCTCAATTTTTGTATAATTAAATCTCACTCTCAACTTTCCAATATATATCCAATTAAAACCTATTATTAATCAGCGAAACATTTAATTCAGCACGTATGGACTAAACAATTTGTGGGCCGATAGACAGACTTAAATTTTCAGAAAATGTATACGTGTGAGGGGCATTAGAAAAAATGTTGCGAGCAGCCAGGGAGTGATGACACGTAATTGGAGAGACAGCAAAAATCGAATAACTTTAGCCACTCTGGTCATTTCTATCGTCATTCCCGCCATATAGCTGGAATATTGCTGAGTGCGGCGTAAAACTCAACTCACTCACTTTATCGTCATTCATTTGTTTTGGCGAACCTATTCAGTCCTTGAATCCCCATATATATTTTTGTTACGACCTACTAGTTCAGACTATATACAAATAATCTGAAACAGTTGCCATTCAAAATCAAATCCTCGACGACAGTTCAGGTGGCGTCTTTATATTTTGCAACAGCTGTAACGATTTCTAGTTGTTGCTAAAGTAGATCAATCTATTCAACTAGAAGTAGATTGTCTAGTTATTCCCTTCTGTTCAACCTTCTACCATTGCAAAGACGCATGGAAATGACGAATTTATCATTTTCTTCCAGGCTGCGGAAGAAAATAAAAGCGTTAGGAACGACACGTGGAGATCCGTACGCCCCTCTAGATCAGGCAACAGTGGAAGAAATGCCAGAACCCTGTTATACAGAGATAGCTGATAACAGAAAAGGCGCAAGATATATGAATTCATCCGTGTGATAAGGACTCTGAAACAACTTCAATGAATGCTGAATGAATTCACAATAATCATGTATTCTTAACCAAGGCATGCAGTCTTTACTCTCCAAAATTTTGTATCAAGTGTAGGTTTTATCTGGGCTAAGACTTGCTTTCGCTTTGTAGCATAACAGCGACAAATGTGTTTACATAGTGATAAGAAAGCTCTGCCCAGCGAGGACGATAGCACGACCCCGTTTATATGATGAGCATGTGTGTATGAATCACTATCTAAATGTGAAGACGCTGAAAGCATGCAAAGCAAGGTCTAGAAACATTTGGTACAAGTTTTGTAAATGACGATCCTTTTCCTCTCTTCCATTAAACTTTTTGAATGCCTACTGTGGACTTGGATGATGTAACATTAATCAAACAACTGAAAAGTTGTTTTGGATATCTGTATCTTTATGCATAGCTTGCCTAAATGATGTCCGAATCAAACCTGTTCTGACAACGATGGAACTGTGAAGAATGTCATTATGTGTTCTTATGCCATTTTTAAACTTCTTCACTGTTTGATTATTATTGATCATCGAACTACCTGAATCTGAAGTTAGAATTTCTTGTACAGATTACCTTCTGTTGACTTTCCCAGAAGTGGGGATTATGTGTTCTTTTGTCATTTTCCAACATTTTGTGGATTCAGCTTCTTGAATATATACCCAAATTCACATATTATTTCTAATGATATCATTTCAGATGGCATTTGCTTTCCTTTCTTTCATTGTCCTCAAACTAGATATGCAACTATACTATGCTCACCACGTAATTAGCTAATATCCGTGATAGAACTGGTCTTCAGGAACCAATGCTTGTCGTAGTAAGCGACTAACGGGATTGAGTTGGCAGGCTCACTGATTTGGTTGACACATGTCATCGTATCCCAATTATGTAGATCGATGCTCATGATGCTGATCACTGGATTGTCTGGTCCAGCCTCGATTATTTACAGACATATAGCTGGAACCAACTTTAATAGTTGTATATAGCATTTAGGCCAGTCAAAACAGCGGTTGATATCTAGAACAAGGACTCAAATCGTCGAGGTGAAAATAGTATGACTGGCTATGTCGCAGATTGTCATTTTGGTATTCCATCGACTGTCTGGTCCAGACTCGATTATTTACAGACCGCCGCCATATAGCTGGAATGTTGCTGAGTGCGGCGTTAAACAACAACCAACCAACCAAACCAAAACAAACCGAAGTGTAATGTGAACACTGTGTCTGACTAATAAGACATATTCAGTGTTTTCATAAAGAATCCCTGATAAATTACGCTTTCACTTCTAAAACTAATAGCATGCATAAACGTATCCTAAAGACAGTTATGAAAGTGTAGGGGAGTTTGAGTTTTAAATAAAAGTCATAATTGATTTAACTTACGCTTAAATTCATCGGAAAGCATCATTATCTCCCGGTGCCTTAAAACATTACAGTATTCTATTCAACAGACGTAAAACAACAGCCCACTTATTCATGGGACTAATCTGCAACACACGGCACAGAAAAATGTGTGATTCGTTAACTTATAATGTGTGGTAATGAACGTGATTTTCAGTCCTACAAATAAGAACAGGTCGACAATATTGTCCGTAATGCATTAGGCCCAAGTAGATATAATGACGCTTGACACAGGAACCAAGAATACAGACATGTGAAGTTTGATACTGATAGTACACCGCATTTCTTACATTAATTAATGAGAGAAACAATTTTCAGACCGTCTGTTGTCAGAAGAGATGGGGCGGTAGGAAAACCACAAAGTGTCCACTCGTCTCGCTGAAGACCCTGGTTCGATTCCCCAAATGGGTAGAATGTGTCAAGTGTCCTTCCACGTGCTGCTGCTAGGATATAGCTAAAAGCTCACTCACTCACTCACTCACTCACTCACTCACCATTGCACACACTGATTTTTGTTTTGATTTGGTTTATAAACATGTTTATTTTTTGTGTGAGGTTTGTATTTTTGTTTGTGTTTGTGTTTGTGAATTCATTAGGTAAATGAAATTCTTTTCGAAGCAGTCGTAAACCCAACTTACAACCTCACTCACTTCATCATAGCGAAACAGTCCATTCGTACATTACAATATAATTTCATCCATTAGAGTTGTCACCAGACTGACATTAGACTGTTACATTATTCACGCTGCATATTTCCATCATATAAGGAAGTTACATTAAGGGATGTATATTGGCCAGAGGACCACTCCTAATCTATCTATATCTTGTGGGTGTGTCGCATCTGTCCAACACATACAGGAAGATAGGGAAACAACAATGCCAGAAAATGTTTTTCACAACTTTTGTTGTATAGTTCATGAAGTTTTAAAGGATTTTTAAAAAGGTCACTTCACATTGTTTAGTTTCGCTCTTAATGAACCCCTTGGTATATATAATATCCACAAAATACAGTTAAAAACGGAAATATTTCATTATACAGCTTGTATAAGGAATCTAAAACGCACCTCCCTCGAAAGCATTTTGCGATTTCGCAAGATAATGAGGTAGATGGTCACGTGGTCGCGTGACGTCATACCCGAGAGTCGCTACATGAACACACGGAAAATACAGTGGTACCGAGCCTGTTCGCTTACTGAGGTCTGCTTCTAGTTTAGCAAATAAATCAATCCTCGAAGTGAAACCTTGATTTGGATGGCATACTATATACAGATAATATCACATACATACAACATTTTCAATTTGAAAGTATTTCTAGCGGCAAGACCGACATGAATATTGACGACGATTCCACCAGTTGACAACATACAGCCGTGGTACGATCCCGACTATGTTTTGAATAGACTTACTGTAGGCTGGTACTGAATGCAATCATGATAACGGCAAGTCACTTGTTGAGCTATCGGTATACATGTTCATGGTAAACACTAAAAAACTGATTAGATAACTGAATGCGCGCCCCTAAAGTTTTAGTATGGTTTATGTGCGTTGAAGGTTTGTTATTGTAGGACGTTAGTGTATGTTTTTTGAAACTCGGGTGTAAGTTAAGTGTGCACCCCTCCTTTTCTCAGTAGTGTGCACCATCCCCACCCCACACACCCCTCCTCAAAAAGCTGTAGCCGCCCTTGGTATCGTCTTTGATATCGTGCATCAAACATCAGTTTTCTATCTCCATACACGTGTAAAGCATAGGTTATATGTCGTGATACTTAGTCATATAAATCTGGAAGATGTACATAAAAGGTAAATTGATAAGGACCTGCAACCTCCTTAACAGCTGATAATAGATATAATAAATAAATATATATGTGAAAAAATAGAACTGACAAATCCTTATCTTTCCTTTAACTGCCAGCTAGTGAAAAAGAAAAGTCTTCATTGTGTTCTGGTAGTAATGTGTAAAGTGTGATCAGTTCCAAAGAAAGACCATCGATCAAATCCAGAAACCAGCACACAAAAATTAAAGCAAATAATTTATTTGCATATAAACTGTTTATGACAAAATAATGAATACAATGTGTACACCGACATCATGAAGGCAAAGGCTTGCGTGTAAATTAACTGGATGGACTGGTAAAAAAAGAAAACAAGACTGCTCTCCAATAAGACCATGTGACACAGTGGTGACTGCAATTTGGAAACATTTACCATCTGAACAAGTCCCAAAATTCAAACAGACGAATACAATAGACCTTAAGACATCAGGCACAACTGGTTTCAGTTCACACCCTAGACACATAACATGATTTCCTTTAATATCTTAATGTCAGTGAATTCAACAGTTCCTGTTTATTGGCTATATATGAAAGTGTCTGGCAGAATATCCTGGAAAAATAGGTTGTTATGTCCTGCAAGTCTGTAGGAAGGAAACATGTTTCTTCTCTAGAGAATGGCCCTGACTAGGAATTCCACATACCCTGTGAATATATTTTACATTCATTTAGAGACATTTTGTAACACAATTTCAGTATATTTTGTTTTGGCAACCATAATAATAATTTTCTTAAAATCTGCACTTAAAATGTAAGTACTTTTGTCTTAACAAGTGCTGAGAGGGAAAATAGATATGAGGATTAAAAACCAGTGTCTTTGCAAACAAAACTTAGTGTTGACTCATTAGTTAGGGAAAAATATGCAGTATTAGGAACAGTTCCAGTTCAACAAAAGATTATTGATTGTCTGAATTATATTTACCACATGTTGGTTTCTTGTTCACTGGTTTGGCCTCTTGGTTTAGGCCTATGGGGTAGCTGATTGCCCACTTGGGT